AAGCACAAGAGCAGGCGCTCACTTCACACTTTCACTGACTGCAGGAGGAAAGCATTACATCTGTATTTAATGTCTTCAGGCCACTTAAAGACACCCACCATAAACAGAGTGAATCCCACCCACACACTATCAGATACACACAGAAACACATTTACCGTCGATTTGCACAAACGCCTCTCACAAGCCTCGACCTTTATCCCAACCTGGCACCTAAAGCCACAACACGAGCAGCTCTAATTAACCTCAAACCAGGTCCTAACCTGAAAATAACCCCGTGGAGATGTCAGGTCAGGACAAACACACACCTCCGAAGATGTTCAAATCCCCAAAACCGATGTTTAACACACACACACACACACACACAGGCAGTGATTTCCCTCGTCGTCTGATCTGGTTCACGTCTTCCTGGAGAGGAACTACAGATAATAAAGAAATTAATCGATTCTGGATGCTCCAGTTCCCTCCCACACCAACCACACAGTCCTGTCACGACTGAGGGAGGAATTCTCCAACAGCTGAAGCTCATTTCTGCAAAGAACTAAAGAGAATCTAACAAATCTATGGAAAAACGGCCTCTTTTTAGATGTCCAATAACCCTTACGGTCTGGAGATGCTAACTTTAGCCACATTGTTTCACCTGAGTCTGGAAACAGCTAAAGGTGAATTTTGATTTTTGATTTTCAGAACAGCAACACACTGAAACCAAACGTTTGTCTGACTGTGAGAGAGCAGCGTCAGTGTCAGGCTTCCACACACAGTCCATCAGCAAGGTAACAACTAACGTCATGGAAGGCCTCACAGGAGCGCGGTTTAATCCACATCCACCCTCCACACTGAACACATGCTGCAGTTTGCAGCGTGCAACGTTCTCTCACACCCACTCTCTGCAGGAGGAGACGGAGGGGCTGAGGAGGAGAAAGGAGGAGGTGGGAACTATGAAAGGAGGAGGCAGAAACCAGTGGAGGTAGACTGATGGGACGAGCTTGTATCACTGCGCCATCTTGTGGACAAAGTTCGTACTACTGTTGAAAATGCATGCAGGGTCAATTTAGAGAAAAATTAGAACCAGTAAAACCTGATAAACTGGTTTAACGTAAACCATTTGAATTTAGAACTCAGACAGGTGAAGTACTTAAACTTTTAGATTGAGTCAAAGTAACTAAAGTTACGTAATTTACTTTTATGTAGTTTATTTTGGACATTTCTAGGAATACGTAACTTCACTAAGTTATTGTCCCCCCCCCCCCCACACCACCACCACCAACCCCCTTGCAGAGCAGAGGTGGAAGTGGAAATACCCACCATCCATCCATACATCCATCCTTGCATGTTGTGAGTGTGATAACTTGAAAAATAAGTGACATACTGACTTCCATTTTGGTGCGTGTCTACATCTACGTGTAAGAAAGATTTATTTGAACAAGTGGGTTGCAACGTCGCAGCACAGTGGCTCAGTTGCTAGAGCTGTTGCCTCTCAGTGAGAAGGTTACCCTGGTTCAAATCTTGGTTCGGGGGCCTTTCTGGGTGGAGTTTGCATGTTCTCTCTGTGCATGCGTGGGTTTTCTCCAGGTACTCCCGTTTCCGTCCACATAAACATGCATGTTAGACTGATTGGTAACTCTAAATTGTCCCTAGGTGAGAGTGAATGGTTGTTTGTCTTGTCTCCGTGTCCCTGTGATGGACTGGAGACCGGGGTGTCCCCCGCCTCTCGCACAGTGACTGCTGGATGTGAGATCCAGTGACCCCTGTGACCAGAAAGGGAAGAAGCAGGTAAAGATAATGGATGGATGGATGGATGGATGAATGGATGGATGGATGGATGGATGGATGGATGGATGGATGGATGGATGGATGGATGGAAGACTTGGTTGCAACATCAAAATTCAAGATGGCCACCACCAATCAAACCAACCGCCCCAATCATGAGGAAAATATGCTTTATAGTTTTTCTATTGCATAAAAAATATATGTATATGGGTTTTTTTTCTCTTCTTCTTGTTCTTTCGGCTGCTCCCTGTGTTAGGGGCCGCCACAGGTCGCATGAAGACTTGACAGTTATTTTTACGCTGGATGTCCTTCCTGACACAACCACAGACACTGAGCTACCACAGCCCTCTGTGTGGAGCAGAGAGCTGCTGTCTAGGACACCCACAGGAGCGGATGGTGGGGGTTAAGGGCCTTGCTCAAGGGCCCAGAGTGGGACGAATGAGGGTGGGGACAGGTGTGGATGCTTCACCTACCCCACCCACATTTTTGATGTCGATACCAGGGTTCGAACTGGCGATCTTCCAGTCACAGGCCCACCTTGTCTAACCTCTGCGCCACCACTCCCCACTAGTGCCTAAAAATATAGTTTCCTTAAATGAGCGAGGTGGCCAAAGATTAATCTACGGAGGCCAAGGCCACCATTGGCCACCCCCTGGCTCCTCCACTGCACCTGGTGGTGGATACATCTCTCTCCATTCATCAGGATTGTCACTCTGTGATGCTTCGGACAAGAATAAAAATAATCATAATAATAATAATAATAATAATAATAAAACACCTGCCTCTGTTCTTCTCCAGTGTAACAACTACCCACTTGAATATCTTGAACCATTAAAGGTCTACTTCATTCTCTGTTCAGTTCCAGTCCAGAAAAACACTCGTCTTGAAAACTACAAACATTCACTGTTTGAATCCCTCAGCGACGGGGACATGGGCACACCGATTGTTTACGTAGTATAAACTGAAAAACTTTACATTGTAAACATTTTTTCTTTACCTAAATGTTGTTTAAGTAGTTTTCCTTTCGCTCATAATCTCCTACAGTCTAGAAGAGACGACGTGAACTCTGCTAACCCTTCAGGTTTGACTTCACGTGGTTTCAATAACTGGCAATGTTTCAGGGTTTTGTTTTTAAGTCACAAAAATGAAACGAACGTCTTTTTATAGAAATAATAAAAATCATTGCTTATACAGAGCACCACCTGATTTTATTTTATTAGTTTGTTATAGGTCATCAAAACTTAAAAATATCCCCAAAATGTAGTCACACGTAAAACATCGACGTTAATTCTACAAAATACGTATTTTAATAAAACTTATTTGTAGATTGAAGCTACTCCAACCTTTTCTAAATAATTGAAGTTTTACAACTTTATTATTTTACGAAGTGGTGCTGTTTACAGCGTAGACTTGTCGAACGGTCTTAAACAAACACAAAGAAAATGTTTTTCTGTAAACGTATTGTTTCGATTTAATAAAATGCATTAAGAAGCTTGGAAAGACTAAATGAAAAATAGTGAAGGAAAACAAAAAACTTTTAAGTAAAATTAAAAATATATCTTTTTAATTGCTCAAACTTGGACAGAACTCATTAATGAAAAAAACAAACATTTAGAAGAATTCACATCAAACTTCCAGTTTTATTTTTACATTTTACCTCATTTAAATGATTCAGCTTCTCCATTTTAAACCTAAACAAGGAGCTCATATATAAAATATATCACATCCAGATTTATTCAGTATTTTATTTAGTACTTCACAATAATGACCCCTTTGTAAAGGATTAAGTCATGCTTTATTAAACTGTTAATAACTGTTCATTAAAGCAGGCTCCTTATTTGAAAGATCAAATCACTTTTGTTCATTTTGGTCATTTATCGTTGCTTTATAATGCGTTAACAAGCTCATGAATAACCCGTTCATTAAGCGTGAATTAATCATTTAGAAAGGAACCTTTTCGTGAAGTGATACAAATTATTTCTCCAACATCTTTGACATTTAACCTTAATTAAATCTTTTCTGTTTTGATGTTCTGGAGCAGGAGAGTCCAGCACTAAACATGTGTCACAACAAATATGGCTGCAGCACCAAACGCGTCAGACTGTGCAAACAAAAGTCACTGTTGATGTGTGAATAAAGCATGACATTAAAGGGACAGTTCAGCTGTTTTAAAGTGTGATTCTGTAGAAAGATTATAAATAATTAATATCTTACTTGTTGTGGACAGATTAATGATAAAGTTAAATAGTGACAGGATTATCAAACTAATGTGAAACGTCTTAAAACGACTCCAGTCTTTCAGTTTAGAGCAGTTTCTGCAAACGTTATTTATTAACCCTTCAGAGTGCTGTTCCTTTTGAATGACTTATTTACAGTTCCTGCAGGAAGTGACCCCAGCTGCACCAGAGGAGGGACAAACACCTGCTGCTGCTGCGAGCACGTAAAAAGTTTGAACGCTATGTTAAAACCTGCGTAACGTGAAACTGACAGTAATGTAAAGAGTTAATCAAACTGCAGTTGTGTGAAGTGGCGCAAACAAGTTAGCTCATCAGTCCGCTCACAATTAAACTCCAATTCTCCAAAATGAGCTTGTTTAAGCAGCCATCTACAACAGGTAAGACATTCATTGTTTGTAATCTTTCTACAGAACCTTTAAAAAAAACAAACTGAACTATCCCGTTAAATCTCCTCAAGCTTTGAACATGAACCTTCAAGGTGGTTAAAAAAAAACTATTTGACGTCTGAACCAGTTTAACGGTTAAGACAGCAAGCTGTAGCAACGACCTTGTGTAACCTTTGACCTTGATTTGTGACCTTGAGGCTGTGGAAATAAAAAGATTAAACGACACTCCGTTCAGTTATTAAAAAAAAAAAAAAAAAAAAAATCTGTATCAAGCTTCATGAAACTATGTCGAGTAAATCAGAAGTTATGGTCCAGATAGGAGAACGTTTGCAGACGGACGGAGAAAACATCAAAACATCTGGAGGAGATTTCAAACTGCACCGTCTGATTTAGAGCCGGATAACTTTTTACAGTTATGATTTCATACTTTAAATTAACCGATTGATCTGAGTTTGGTTGAAATCTTTGACTTGGTTCATAAAGTGCAACAAAAACCTGTTTAGATTCAGTGGATTCATGTTTTATAAGTCTTAGCTATAAAATATACACAACGAAGTTTATTCCAGCAACGTGTGTGGGGGGTATAAAAAGCAACAAAAAGATTTTTATGTAGACTCCCCCCTCCCAGAAAGTCTAATAATTTAAGCTCTTGTGAGATGTTTTTAAAGGACGTCCTACGCGGAGCGTTTCTCCACGCCCTGTTTGATCCCCAGCACCAGGTGAACGAACCAGTTGATCTGAACCATCCAGCCTTTCTCCCTGCAGATCTCTATCTGGTCCAGCAGGTGGCGCTGCGCCTCGTCCTCGCTGCGGCCCACCGTCAGCGCCTCGCGGATGTACTCGATGTCCTCCTTGCTCGTCAGCTGCGGCATACCTGAGGTCAGGTGTTCACACGTCTCACTTTAGTTTTACATCAAACAGCAACTTCCTGTTTTGTTACAAACATGGTTTTTTTTTCATTCAACCTTTATCGATACAGCCTGGTCTCATTGAGCCTCAAGGACTCATTTACAAGAGAGACCTGTTCCAGACAGATCATATAAAGTACAGACAACAACAACAGTAAACAATAACAATAAACTACAGTTAAAATAAGAGTAGTGTACAAAACAATGTTGTGAAGTCGTACCGGTCATCAGCATCATGGAGAAAAGGATGATGAGGAGGTTGGTGTGGTGACGAAGGGCGAGGTAAGCCTTCACACACACGTCCTGGAATTAAACAACAACAAAAAAAGAAGGAACGGAAAGGTTTAGTTTTAATTTTATGACGGGAGTGTTGTTTCTTTTCAACGTTCTCATGAAAAACACACTGATCAGGTTTTATCGACACTTTCAGAAAGTGAATGGAGAACTTTCAGAGTTGATCCAACTCAAGATGGTGGATGTTTAGATCACAAACACAGGTTCATCGACACAAAAAATACAGTTTTAATAAAATGATTCGGCCATTTTCTGCTCTGTGAACGTGCGCTCTTCTCGTCTCCAAAGTGAGCTGCAGCTCCGACACACAACTCGGTGTCTAAATGACGCAGGGATCATGTTTTCTGGCCTATAAGTCGCACTTTTTTGCCTAATTTGCATGCGTGCCCTGCGACTTATTTATGTTTTTTCCATATTTAAAAAACAATTTTTGGCTGAGATCTGAGATTTCTGACTGAAAATATTGAACACTACCATTTTCAGCCGCTAGATGGCACTCAAGCAGTATGGAATGCTGATGTGTCATGTAATAGGTGAAAGTGGCCATTAATGACACAATCAGCTTGCCATAGTCTGCCACTTTCGTTCTGCTCCAGGAGCAACCGTCGAATCAGCTTCATTTCGCTGCACCGCCCCGGTGACATGCAGCTAATTTGACCATTGAAGTGCATTCATTAAGTAAAAGTTCAACCGAGACACACCTTTACTATAATGTCGAGCAAACAAATATTTGTTTTTAAGTGTTTATCTTGTTAATTTTGAAGAAATGCACAGCGACATGTCCCTGTGACAGAAATGAAGATGTTGAGGTTCTCCTTGGACAAGGATGGATAAGATTAGGAATGAGATCATCAGAGGTACAGCACAGGTTGAACAACTGGGAGATAAAGTTAGAGAGACCAGACTGAGATGGTTTGGACATGTCCAGAGGAGGGACAGTGGGTATACTGGTAGAAGGATGTTAGAAATGCAGCTGCCAGGGAAAAGACAAAGAGGAGATATATGGATGCAGTTAGAGAGGACATGGAGGTAGATGGAGTGAGGACAGAGATGGAGGAGGATGACTCCCTGTGGAGACCCATGAAGAAGGAAAAGTAAAAAAAAAGAAGTCATAATCACATCGTCATCATCATCATCATCACAATCACCACAATCATCCTCATCATCACCACCATCACCATCATCATCATCTCCATAACCACCGTTATTATTACCATCACTATCATCCCATCATCATCATCACTATCATTACCATCACTATCATCCCATCATCATCATCATCACTATCATCATCATCATCACCATCATCATCATCAGTATCGTCATCATCGTCATCTTTTACAGAAAGTCAAAAAGGACACAAACACCAGACAACAGTATTTTACCATATCACCTGGAATATTTATAAAATCTAAACTGAATTTTACATTTAAATCTTTTAACTTGTAAACTTTTTAAAAGAGTTTTTCATTTGATAAAAACACAAATGTTTTTAATTTATAAGTGCCATACAGGAAGCTTTTTAATTTCTTTTTAATTACGTTTTGCTGCGTTTTTGTTGAAATTTGTCAATATTTAAAAACGTTTCTATTAAATTGTTCTTTTTTTAATTCACGATATGAATGTATTTTAAGAAGTAAAGAAAGAAAAATTCAACATATGACTTTTTAAGACGAGGTAATGCAAAACATAATATTTAGACTGAATTTTAATATGTAATACAGAAGTGTATATTTAGATAAATATTTAGTCAAATATTTACTTCATTAAGTACAAATAATGCAATATTTCCAAACTAAATGTTTTCAGTTCTGTGTAAAATAATCCAACAGCCCTAATCTGATGACTGCGACCTCTCGCAGTACAAAATATAATTTTTAGTAATGTTTCTTAAGTTTTTCATTTGTCAACATCAAATGATCTCAGTTCAAAACTTTGGCATGAAAAGTGTCAAACTCAAGATCCGGGGGCCAAATATGGCCCCTACCAACATCTTATCTGGGTCCCAAAGGGATATTTTAAAAGTAAAATATTTATATTTCTTCTCATTTTAGAAAAAGCACCAATGTTAAACGAGAGCAATGAAGCTCTTGATAAGGAAATATAAAAAAAAAAAGATGTCAGACATCTGACTGGAATAAATGTAACATATTTTCCACCGTACACGTCACACCGCCCTATAAGTTGCATCAGTCTAAATATGTCTAATAAAAGTAGAAGATCCATAAATACTTTCACTTTGCCGTATATGTCACATCTATTATGTGTCGCTGTTGACAACCCGGAAATGTGGGCCGGTGTTGTGACAAAAATCAATTGTGTCATTAATAGCTGGTGAAGATTCTCAGTCATCCAGGACATGGTAGATTCAAAAAAGTTCAAGACAAAAATAATAAAGTGTAAAGTATAATAAATAAAGTTGTTTTTGTCTTGAATTTTTTTGAATTTGTCATTATAGCCACTTTTACCTATTACATGATACAACAGCATGCCCTACTACTCTGGTGCCATCTAGTGGCTAAAAATGGTAGTGTTCAATATTTTCAGTCAGAATGAATGAAAACGGTCATATCTTAGCCAAAACTTGGTTTATAAATATGGGAAAAAATCCATAAATACATCACTTTGTCCTATAAGTCGTAGGGCATGCAAATTATGCAAAAAAAATGCAAATTATAGGCCAAAAAATACGGTAGTTTGAGCCTTTCTGTAATCTTTTATTTTGATGCAGAAAAAGCATTAATGTTAAATGAGACCAATGAAGCTCTTCAAGAGGAACCTGAAATTTAAAAAAAAGATGTCAGGCATCTGACTGGAATAAATGTACTGACTGAAACTGGCCTGTGGTTTGACACCACTGCTTCAAGAAATGTACGGATTCTATTGTAAAAGACTGGGGGGGTGGGGTGGGGGGGGTGATATTTGTACAAAAATGGCTCAGTATTTTGTGTGTGCGCTGAAAATACATTAAAATAATAATGTGAACCTGAAACTTCTGGAAGTGGGGGCTGCTCTTCTTTCCCGACGTCCCCATGACGTACAGGAAGTCTGGTGTGAGCACGAAGGGGACCCACTCTTTACTGATGCCCATGAAGCTCTTGTAATTCCCCAGGATGTGGCCGAAGTCGATGTGAAACAGATTCCCTACGAAAACACGGAGGTTCATCAGATTCCTTCCAGCTTGTGTTCTGTTTCGGACCAGCAGAAAGATCACCTGATTCTGTGATCATGATGTTGTCGTTGTGACGATCCCCGATACCGAGCACGTACGTGGCCACGCAGTACCCCCCGCAGGAGTACAGAAACCTCTCCACAGCCTGCTGGAACTACACACAAACACACCACTGCTGTCAAAGAAACAGAAAAAGGTCAGACACAGTCACGAAAAGCTCATTTTTCCTTTACGTTTTGGTTAAAGGCCCAAGATAAAAATAAAACGGCTGACTTCGCAGGTGTGCCAGATAAATACACGAGTACTGAGGCAGGAAAAACCCGAGCCTCGCTTCCTTCCTGTCTGTCGCGCTGCTACTTCCTCCTGTTTGATAAACAAACCTGCTGCAGGAAGCAAAGCAACACATGGATTACAAAATGCAAATAATATGCTCAGCACCTTCGGTACGACCTCAGTTTATTGATTTAGTTCTGTGGAAAAGTTATGAGCAATAAATATCTTACCTGTTGTAGATGGATCTTTTTTTCTTTTTTTTTTTTTTTCTAGATGGCCTCCCTTCTCCCCTTACAGCCATCCTCTCCACACCATTATTATGAAATATTTATTCTAGTGATTATCTAGTGTAGGTTTTTTTTTTTTTAATAGGATAGAAAGAAAGAAAAGACAAAGTAAGACTCCAAAATATAAGAAATATACACAAAGAGAGCACACGGCAAAACACCCGGCCACTGTCTGTTCACCTGCAAAGAACATGACAAAACACAGCAACAAAATACATTTGTATAAAGAACTTAAAATATTCATGGCTTTGCAGTAAGTTCCCATAAATATATATGCCCATACCTACGCCTATATACATACATACATACATACACATGAATATACACTCACATACATATCTATATATCTACATATAAAGCCTACATAAGCATCCCTGCTTCTATTTGTGTGTGGTTGTGAGCATGCATAAGTGTATAAGGCTTCTCTAATAGAACATTTATTAGTAACTGTGAAGCAGCAGAGACCCGACCCCCAAGACCAGAGGCAGACGAAAAAGGGGGGACCAGAGTCCAAGACCCCAGGAGGGACCCCGACCGCGGAGCCCCCAGGGCCACCCACACAGGACGAACCACTCACCCACCCCCCAGATTGGACCACAGGGGAGAACCGGAAGATCCCCACCAGCGACCACATGCAGTGACCCCCCGGGGCCAACAGCGACAAACTCATAGGCCCCCGCCGGAACCCGCCGCACCGATGCAGTTCCAGGCCCGGGCACCGAGGACTCACACCACCCAGGCCAAGGCCCGACAGGGCCAGAGGACCCGAGCCCCACCAGGCAGACACCAGGCCGAGCTGACACACGCCCAGGCGCCCAGCCCCCGACACCAAGGGCCCCAAGCGCGCCGGCAGTCAAGGGCACACCCCACAAGGGGGCCGTGCGATGCCAAGCACCCCCAGTTGTATCAAAGAGTCCGAGTCTCGGCCCAACAAATACCCATTCATACACAGACACAATCACACAGTCCCAGCCTCATTCTCACACTCACTCACTCAAAGACATACAATAACGATACATTTCATTCCTATTCCCAATACGCACTCTATACCCCCCAGGTCCAAGACATGTACCCGCCCTCTACAGGGGGCAGCCCATGCCCAAACCCAGGAGGTAAACCCAATCATTCTCGAGCGGAGAGGAGCCAATATCCCAGGCCCGGCCCAGGTCACGCCCAGCCAACAGGACACCCCCCGGCACGAAGAGGTCACGCCACCGACCACCCCCACACACCGCCAACAACCAAGCACACGCCCCCAGCCGACCGCCCGCCAGGCCCCAGCAGCCACCCCGGGCAGTGGGCCAACCATGGCACCCAAGAGCCAAGCTCAGGGGGTCCAAACAACCCCAGGGAGAGCACAGAGCCAGCACCGCCCACGGCAACCCCCTAGACCCTGAACCCCCACATAGTCCTGGTCAACACCTTCGGTACAACCTCAGTTTATTGATTTAGTTCTGTGGAAAAGTTATGAGCTCTTTGACTAACAAGTCAAAATCAAAATCAAGACCAACATTTAGCTCATAAATCGGTTTAGATTTAAACCTTTTCATCAAACGGAGACATTTATGTCATCTAATCTTTCTTAACAGATAAAATATGATTTTGTTTCAACAAAGCTCAACTTCAAAAAGAGTCAGTCAGAGTCAGAGAGTCAGAGTTGACCCTTTAATTCAATTGAATATGTTTATGAATTGGATATTTAGACACAAACTCCAGATACACAACACATAGGAAATGTACTAAACTGCAGCAAGAGTCTAAGTGTGGTAATTCCTAACTTTATTATTATTATTATATTTAAAATAAAAAAATAAGCTCAAAACAGATGATTTTTTTCGTGTTTGCTAACCACGCTAGAAAATATAACTTGAAACTCTGATGGCTGCAACATGAACCAATAAAAGCTGGAAATGAAGCAAAACCAAGAAATGACTTCATAAGATGTCAAAAACACCACTAAAGCTGGTGATGGGTGAAGTTGTCAGAATTATGTAGAAAAGTCCTCCAAAGACTGAACTAGAGAAACACTGGACGGACCTGCTGCAGGACGATGAGGCTAACGAGACGAGAAGCCATGCTGCCATGTTGGAAAGATCTACGTGTAGCAACGTTAGCATTCTTAGTTGCTGCCAGAATGGCAACAGAATCATCAATATCTGATTAAAAAACTGTGTTTTGTCATTAATGTACTAATGATTGGAACCAGTGAAAAGAGTATGACTTTTTTTTTCCTAAGGAGTTCTGCATTCTGCAGAATTTACGTTGATGCGGCTTCAAAGACAACATGTTTGTCTGAACGCCATTTTTTGTTAATTATTAGCTTTGAAATCCTGGATTTCTGAATGTGATCAATAAGCTACAGAACATTTTATTAATTAGTTTATGTTTAGGTTCCAATAGAAAAAGTGGAAACAGCAGCACTGTGGGCTACATAGAAAGACCCTAAATTAAGGATCTCACACATTAATTTGCTCATTTTTTGCCAAAAAGCTCAAATAGCATTGTGTTTTTAAATCTACACATTAGACTGAACAGATGTGACGTTGTCAACATTTGAAACGCACCTTGTCCTCGCTGACACACTTGTCTCGGAGCCACTGATGGAGGATTTCATCCTTAAACGCACCGGTGCTTCCAACGACACTCTGCTGGATGTTTGCAATAGTGGTGGCATCCTTAACGATCTCGATCATGCCTACAAAATGTGACAAGACAAAAAGGAAGGTTAGGACATGACAAAACCCAAATCAACTATTGGAAATCTTTACTTAAAACAAGTACAATAAGAGTAGCACATTATAAACCCATCAACAACAGACTAGCAAATACCTGGTATAACATTTGACCTTGATGTGTGACCTTGAAGCTAGTGTATCAAGTTTCATTAAATTAGCTTGAGCGGATCAGAAGGTATGGACAGGACAAGGGAAAGTTTACAGATATACAGAGACTATACCACAGTGCTTCTTCCTTTGGACGGGCGTAGATAAAAACATTAAGTGAAGAACTTCAGAGTGACTTAACCCTGTGAGTTTCAACCTGCATTACAGCAACAAGTGTATCATAATACTAACAAATATTGTCACCAGTGGCAATTTTAGCCTCTTTCAAGCACCTCTACATTTTAACTCAACACCCCTGAAAAAAACAAAAAAACAAAACAAAAAAAACATCATTAGGATTTTGTAAGGTAACTCAGTTCTCAAACCTTAAATTCACTGAAATACTGAATAAATTTGGAATAAATGAATAATAAACTATGTACAAGCTATGATTTTTTGGCACGAGTCAGCTCCTTAGCGTCACCTGTCAATCAATCCGGTAGGCACGTCAGCAACTGACCAATCAGCGACCTCAATTTGTCCCAAAGGTAAACGCCTCTTACCTGGGGGAGGGGGAGGGTATTGGGATGTGTGAGAGAAGCGGAGCGTGCTCTATTCACACAAGGAGAGCTGTTGGTCAGGCTACTTCTTGTAGCTCTCTAAAATAATTATTGAACCAAGTGTTTACTTATGTACAGTAGGTCAACGTAGAAATGCAGACACCAGAATGAAGGAAATGGCATCTACTTCATTCAAAATTTTATGGGAGAGGAACCCCAGAGCCCCCCCCCCCCCCCCCCCCCCCCCCCCCCCCCCCCCGAGTCAGTTTCAGCTAAAACAAGAGAGCCAGCAGGTTGCTTTAAAAACATAGTTATTAGTTTGAAACAGATGTACGCAAAGATTAAAGGCTTACACAAAAACATAACCAGTTAAATTTAGTTTAGTTCCAAATATAATTATTTTGTTTTTAGTGACTTGCTGATTCAATAATTAGCCGAGCTTTGAGCCTCTGCATCAAACCTGGAGTGAGGTTTTTATTTCACCTGCTAACGTGCTAACTCTTGTAGCTTGTTGCACACTGCTTCAGAACAGCATTAAAAATGTAACAGTGATTTTGCCCAATAAGAGCTGACAAATCTTGGGGTTTTGTTGTTGCAGGGAAACATGTTGAATGCAGAAATATACTGTGGTTAGCTGAAGCTACTCAGAAGAACGCTGTTTAAGCTGCTGTTTGTCAACCGAACTGGATGACATTTTGTTAAAAATGACGGCATATTTCAACCCTGGATATTAAGTAAAAATGAAGTATGAGCACTAAACAACTTAGCTAACTTAGCTGAAGATGCTTAAACTGAGTTGTTCAAGCTGAAAGAAACAAAAACCAGCTTAAAGATTTAAAAAGCAAAACACTAGCTAAAAGCCCAAATTAGGAAGTGTTAGTGAAAAGCTAAATATAACGAAGAAAAAATAAGCTAACTAAATGTCTCAAATCTGGAAAAGGCTAAATAAAGGCAGAAAGTAGCCAAATGCTAGCTAGAAGGAGCAAAACAAAAAAAGCAAAGCAACACCCGAGCTTATGAAGGACAACAAACCAACTCATTAATCCATCTCAAAGTGTTTAACTTGGAGTTATCCGGTGCAGCCGACCTATTCTGTTGCCGGTGGAGATGCAGCCGTACGGCAAGAGGCACAGATCCAGCGACTCCGTCTCCCAGATGGACTCCATGATGAGCAGAATCTGAAACGAATAAAAAGAAGTGCGTTCCTTCCATTGGTTGCTACTTCAACCCAGGAGACGGCTGTGTGTTGCCGCTGACCTGCAGGATGAGCATATCCTGTCTGAGGTCGTCGCCGTCTTTGAAAATGATGCCGATGGGGTCTTTGGACAGAGTGGTGGGGTCGGCCTTTTTGAACTGCAGCCACAGTGGTTTCTTCTTGGACGCCATCACTTTGCACTGCTCAATCTGCATGAGCATGAGCAGCGTTAAATTTGAAACGCAGCGCTGTACACTCGAGCTTCTTATGACAAATGGGTCTAATGGACCTCTTGTCTTCAATTCTGTGTTCATCGTGTTGGTTTCTCACCAGCAGGGCTCCAGCTCTCAGACCTGGATCATAAGGAACTCGAAAACTCTCAGGTAGACCGGACGTTTGCAGAGTCTCCAGTTTCTGTCGCAACTGAAACACCACTAGCAATGACACAACACACACACGTTCAGCTTTAATCAGACATATAGTCTGTGTAAGTCTCCAGTACTTCTCACCTTGAGCCGTGACGTCATATTTGTCAGCAGACATGGCCTTGATCTCCCTAGTGACTTTCTGCAGAGCCTCAGTCATCTCCACCTGAAGAGCATCGGGTTATTTCAGTGACTTATTTGTTTTATTCAAAACATTTCCTCATTTCTATTTACAAATATACCATAAAACCCAGCTTCTTCACTCTTGTCACAAAGATAAGTGCCAAAAATTGACGGGCAGCCAAATGGCGGCCGCGGGAGCGTGCACGGGAGGACTTTAACAAGAATTTAACAAGATTAACACTTAAAAACAATTATTTGTTTGCTCGAAATTATAGCAAAGGTGTGTCTCAGTTGAAATTTTCCTTAATAAATGCACTTTAATGGTCAAATCAGCTGCATTTCTCCTGGGCGACGTGGTGAAATGCAGCTGATTTGATGTTTGCTCCAGGAGTTACGGAGCGAGACGAAGGTGGCTGCTGTGGCAAGCCAAGTCTCCCATTAATAACCACTTTTACCTATTAATGAGACACTTGGCTTGCCATATCTCTAGTGGCTGAAGATGGTAGTGTTCAATATTTTCCATGTCAGAATGAATGAAATCATCAGATCGCAGCCAAAAATTGGGTTATAAATATGGGAAAAACATAAATAAGTCGCTTTGGTGTATAAGTCACAGTGCTTGTTAATTTATGCAAAAAGGTGTGACTTATACAGCTAAATATACCATACATCTAACCAGTCTCCTATGTGGGGGTGTGGCTGTGAAGCATGCTCAGTTCTAGATCAACTATCATTTACAGACTATTGCCACTTTTTCAGCACCTTCTCCTCAGCCATCACCTGTTTCCTGAAGTCCTGCAGCATGTCCTCACCGCAGCCTCTGAGGTAGGCCTCCAACAGGACAGCGTACCTCTGCTGGTAGTGCATGGACTGGGCGATCTCGCTCCGCAAGAACCAGAAGAGAAAATGACCAATGCGCTTACTCTGGGGATAAAAGGGACAAAAAAGAAGAGCAATTTTAAGCTTCTTTGAGACTAAATGCGAGTTTTAACCTGTAACTTATAAGAGGCACAGAAATAATTGTTATATCAGTCATTGAAATCTATTAAAAAGTTCAAAATATCTCGACTTTGAAACAAGTTACGGGCAGGAACAAAGAAGAAGAAATTCTGCTTACCCTCAGAGCTCTCTTCAGCAGGAACCTGACCAGGGCGCTGTCATGGTACGGCTCAAACTTGACGGCCTGCAGGAGGAGATACAAGCACACACAGTTACACGTATCTTCTTATTAGAACTCTATACTGGCTTTATTTCACTGTGGAACACATAAGTCAAGTAATAATCTAATCCTTAGTCATAAGCAATTTATATAATCCTAACATTAACTTGAATAAACATCTCGACTAAACCTTTGTGAGGCAGGCTAACAAAGATCTGTTAGGAAATTTTTGGTCAAAGTTTATGGATGTTTTTAACTACTACAGCTGAGAATGTTAACTCTGCCCATGAACCATATGTTTGGGTTAGCAAAGAGAGCTCTATGAGGAGCTGGGTGAAGCTGCAACATGCAGTTGTTGCTTCAAGGACACCTCTGAGCCTGTGAGCTTAGCTGAACTGATAAGAGTATAAAAACAAGCCACACACTGCCCGTGGCAGACTGTCATGACTGGTCTTTGTGTGTACTTCCTGTATATCTGTGTAACCTGTCCTGAAAATCTGACCTTGCAAGTAAAATACTAGTTAAAAACCTTCTCCTGATGTCGAGTGCGAAACCTTCTGAGTAAGTAAGATAAAGCGAGAATATTTTTCTCCAACAAGACCCTAACGGCTCTCCATTGTGAAGTGAGTGAGTTTAAACTGCAGGTGAATTCAATTCAGTTCATAAATACTTTATTAATCCCAAATGGAAATTAAATTATCCTCGTTTCATTAAGAGATGTTATAGATACTGATGGCTGTAGGCAAGAAGGATCTCTTGTAAAGGTCTGTCCCACAGTGGAGCAGAAAAAACTGGCCACAGATGCCGTCCGATCCATCCACCCAGACTCGGCTGGCCTCTTGGTTCACCAGGCTGCAGGACCGCCCGAATACTGGGCAGAAAACCTCCCAGCAGCCTGCCGAGCTCCTCGTCGCTGCAGACAACCAACTGCCGGCAGGTAGATGGGAATGCATCCACAGCACCTCCTTTTCAACTCATTTGAGATTTGGGAATGTAGTTGAGATATTATTTGAGCTTTTGAGATGTTAAATTAGCTGCTCCCAGTTGTAAAAACCACCTTGTTGTCATGGTTACGTATAGGAATGCACAATATATACGGTACACAGTAAATGGTGAATGGACTGTACTTATATAGCGCCTTTCTATCTTATTTCAAGATACTCAAAGCGCTTTACACTACAATCTGTGTCCTCATTTACCCATTCATACAGCACTCTACTAGATCTCGACAAAGCTAATTGAACAAATCATTCTAAAGAGACTAATCAGTGCTTTATCACATTCATACACCAATAGGACATACATCGGAGGCTATGAGGGGTTCAGTGTCTTGCCCAGGGACACTTCGGCATGTGACTGCTGGTGGATTCAAACCCCCAACTCTCGTATTGGAGGACGACTGCTCTAACCACTCAGCCACAGCTGCCCAACTCAGTCACAGCCGCCCAGTAAGGCTATCGCCTTATCAGTACAAACGATAGACATTTAGCCTATGATAGAGATCTGTATTCTACCAGCTAACCGCAATAATGCTGTGTCTGATGTAAAATCAGAGTTGTCAAATTTAATTGTTACTTTTTTTGAGTTGAAAACTGTGCGTAAGCGGTGTTAAAGTCTTTTCTTCGAGGGCTAAGTAGCGAAGCTACAAGCCAACTACGGCCGGCTTGCCGTACTCCTATTCGGACGCAGGCGCAAAATGCTGTGTTCCGTCGAAAGTTTATTTTGTCGTAAGTTCGTTGGTCAGCTTTAGAGAGCACATTTGAGCTAACACAAAAAAAAAAAGAAGAAGAAAGGGTTAAACCTGCTCTCTGATCTGTGAAAAGAACGCTGCGTTGTGTGATTTTACTGCGAGACCTCTGGTCAAAGCCACAGAGGAAACTGGTCGCCATTTTGTGTCAGCTCTCCTTAAAGCAGAAGGAGACTAGAGGGTTGGAGGGTGAAGAGTTTTCAGTGTAAAATGCTGCTCTGTTGCTGTTCATTTCTTAAGTGAGAAGACTGGAAACTGTTGAGTTAACAACATTATTTTGTTTAAAACATATGGCTAAAACTACATTTGATATCTTTTGCACTGTTTTTGCACTACAAAAAAGAAGCCTAATACTTGATTTGTTTATTATTTAAACCATCTCTGGACCTAGTAGTGGAATTTTCTTAATTGAGATTTTTGCGGTATAGCAGTTTTCAAAATAAATGATGGCAAAAGGACGCCCTTTATTTATTTATTTTTTCCATTCCTATTGCAAGTTTTATACCAAAACATATTGTGATATATATCGTTACTGCCACCCATCATAATACATATTGTGATATGAATTCTGTGCCATATCACACATCCCTAGTTACACATCATAACAAATGTCCAAAAGTAAACAAGTTTCAGTAAAAATTTAGGTCCAGGTCAGAATCTAGATAAGTGGTTCTCAAACTGGGGTCCCCAGACCCCCGGGGGTCCGCGAGCTGGTGCTTTGGGGTCCACAACAACAAAACAAAAACAAACAAAAAAAGACTTTTTTTAATTTATTTTTATTTTTTTTACAAGCACGTAGATGTTTAATAACCTGTTAAAATTAGGGCTGGACAATAATTCGATAGATATATATATATTTTTTTCAATATCGATATATATTTTGCGATATACTTTTATTCAATAACGGTGATATGAGTTTTAAGCACATTTTCAATATTTCGATATACACTACGCTATGATTACAGTGTTTCACTGACGCATTTCTTTTTCTGTTCGGGTTGAAGCGGTCGCTTCAGTTTCAACCCGAACAGAAAAAGCCGCGACAAAACTACGTAAGTGCGTGGTAACGAGTTAGTGGTAGCAGGCTTGGCTAAAGCTCCAACGCTCTGTAAGTTTTTGCTTCAAAATGAGTGCCCATGACTGTCAGAATGTGACTGAACAAGCTTTCACAAGCGAAGAGAAAGAAGATGGCATGATTGAGAAGAGACAAAAGATTAATTTGGCGATATGGAAGTGGTTCGGCTTTCTAAGAGCCGATAAACTGCGAGTGTGCTGCAAAATGTGCCGGAGAGTCGTTCCAACTAGCGGTGGGAACATCTAACTTGTTCCACCATCTGACAAGTTTCCACTCTATAGAATATGCTGAGAGTCAGAAGATGAAGCACAATAAAAGTTTGAGCCAACGTGTCCCTGAAACATCAGCCCCAGCTGTATCAAATCCTTCTTCGTTCTTCTGACAGTGCTAGCTAGCTGGCTGAAGAAAAAAATGGGAGCCGATTACCTGGTCTCACCGTAATTTATACGGACCAGGGGTGAGGCCCACACAGCAGGTGGGCGTGGCCTAAAGTTTTCAGTGCTGCGCGCGAAGGGATAAACCCACTAGCGATAGCCTTAAAGGGCGAAGCCTATACGAAATAGAAGCAGAAGTTTGCTGCATGGGTTGTTAGGTTATGTTGCTGTTTAAAGTTAAAACTATTAATTTGGACAAAGTTGAAGGTTTTATGTTATTTGATGGTGATTTCAAATTTCTTTGAAGGATAAATACAAATAAAAGGTGAACATTAATTTATTTCTACAGTTTGAAACGTTTTTCTGAGGCCTTTATATTGTTCATATCGATATCAAATTATATCGTCATCGACCGAAATTAAGAAATATATCATGATTAAAGTTTGGGCCATATTGTCCAGCCGTATAAAATACACTAAAATGCAGGAAATCACATCTACTTTATTAAAAAAAAAAATTGAGAGAGGGCCCTCAGAGGGCCTGTATATCTTTTTAGCTTTATATTTATAATGGTTTCCTTGTAGCTTTAAATGCATCTTTAACCTAATTATTTATATTTGAAGTGTTGTCAGACTCAAAGATCTGACGTTATTTAAACAGTGATGAATCCTCAGCATCAGGTTACCGTATTACCAAAACAATTTTTAATGAGAAAGAGTGTCAGCTGACAACAACAGTCTCACGCCCAAGACAGAGCCTTTGTTAACACTTATTGAGTGTGTGAAAGGTGCCGACCCCTGGATTATACAAAATGAACTTCATGAGTCTCACAAGAGCTGAAATGTCACAGTTGACCTGAAACAGACGGGGGTTCGATGATACTGGACACATAAAACAGAGCTTATTGTGATCACCAGTGCTATCCACATGGTGAGCAAAAGAAGCAATAAATGGATTAAATGTTCGTGTATCAGGTCTAGGTTGAAATGTAATCTGACCGGCCTTTTTTTATTTTCTTATTATACTTTATTTACATCTGCTTTAAATACATATATAGAAAAAGTATAGTTCTGTTTTGCAAGATAACTGCTAAGTGTTTATATTAAAATACATAAAGGTTTGAACGAGTCCAAATTAAGTGACTGCCACTTTTTCAGTATTTTCGTTTTGTAGCCAATATTAAAGTGTACGCTGTTGAAAAAGAGAAGGACGCACCTATTACCTGCTGAGTCAGTGGAAAGCCTTTGCAAAGCAGGTGATCGTTCTTTGGAAAAAATCCAAATAAGTAATTAGACTAAAAAAAAAAATGCAAGATATTCATAGATGGAATAACAACCTCCACGTTTGAATAAAGTACATGGCATGCAGTGACAACAACATGAAAGATATGTCATTTTCCTGTCACGGCAAAGGCTCCTTTGTTAGCCTCAGCTGATAGTTCTCGCTTATGCAAATCTGACCACAGAGTCACATATAATAGAAACACAGCAAGATCATCACGCACGTGTCTGACTGCTGTTCTCATGGGTTTGCGAAGAATCATAACCATGAATCAGGTGGGAAAAGGGGTCTAAATAAAAAAAAAAAACCTGTGCTTTGTGTCACCATAAGGTGTGATATTAGTTTTAAATTCATTAAGATATTGACCAGTGGATGAAAAACTGCTTTCTGGTCGCCAAGTCAACTGGCTTGTTCAGTTATATTTAATATTGTGACAATTTACAATATATTTTTATCTTTTTAATTTCCCTGAAGGAATCTTCCCAAGGGATCAATAAAGTTTCATCTAATCCAATCTCATTTAATACTGACATAATGATGTTTTATCACCTTAGTCAACCTAATTCAATATGGCCGCCACAGCCAATTGACCTTAGGAAACAAATGACTAAGTCAGTCCATTTTACGGATATCGAGTTAAAATTTGGTGTGGTAGTTGCCAAGCATGGTCCTCAAGAGTTACCCTGAGCACATGTAAAACATCTTCGAGTGTCTGTGACGTGCATATCCTACAAATTAGAGCTCAACCGATATATCGGTAAGGCCGATATTTTAGGCTGACATGGGCGTCTGGGGATCTGTCGTTTCGGCAATAATTGTCCCGTTATGCACCAATATAAACACTTCTAATTCTCACCCCTACAATGCTGGGGTAAACGCTCCACTCGCTGTCTACTTAGATTCTTAGGGGTGGACAAAGCTCAGAAAGTTTCAGCCATTATATCGGTTACCAGTATCCCCCGCTGCTAACGCTGCTAACAAGATCCTCCACCTACACACATGGTACGGACCCGTTGGGTTCCGCGGGGAAACCTGGGATGTTCTCTGTGTGCCAGACCAAGTTCTGGACTGCGGTCTGTGAAAGCAGCTGCTGTGGTCCTTATTACCATCAAGCTGCTGACTGGACCTGCTAACAAGACCTGCTAAGCTGCTAACAAGACCATGCCGCTAGCAGAACAGAACCATGCTGCTGAAAGAACATCACTGCTAACCGAATCACACAGTGGATGCATTTTTTTTTTCACATTTGAAATAAACTGAAGTGAATTGAACTTTGGCGCCTTGTTTTTTTTAGTATTTTAGTAGTATTTTTTTAATATATCCTGATGCATGCTCAATAATCCAGGTAGAAAAATCTAAAAAAAAAAAAAGTTAAATCTGGTCCTCTGGACATTCAAAAAAAAATTTGTAGAAATGTTTCGTCTTTCATCCATAGGACTCAAGTCTATTTCTCTTTTGGCATAATATGACAAAAACAACTCAACTAAAGATGGCTGCCTCAGTTGATCAACCTATGCCGTTCATTGGTGATGCTTTAACAAATGATTATCAGTTTATCGCTTCACATTTTTCAATATTCTTGTTGGCCGATAAACGAAAATCTAATTAAAAGGTGCAACATTTGTCTAAACTTTGAAAAACAGAACAAGTCTTTGAAAGTGGAAGAACGATCAAACCAACCAGAAGCACTCAAATGGAAGCGCTTCCGCTTGTTGTACCAGATTAAAAACGATAAATAAATACAAAGACAGACCTGGACAAGCTGGAGAAGATATCGGAGCACGTCATCGTCCTCCAGCGTCTCCAACTTCCTGACAGCCATCGAACGAACGTGAGCGTCCGAGTAGTGGCAGTCCAGCAGCTGCATCGCCAGACCAACATCCAAACCGCTGAAGAGAAGGGATAAGATGAAGCTAAAGAGAAACTACAAACAGATACATACGGTTAAAGACGGTACCTGGTGTCCCACGCGCTGCTGCGCTCTAACAGACAATGCATCGCCAGAACGTCTTCCTGTTTCCCCCACCTGACTGAGCCCAGCAGCTTGGGGTAAGCCCTACAGAAAATTGTTAAAATTAACACCCAGAAATAAATGCATTAAAATTTGTTGCCTATTTTCTTTTTGGACAAGTTTGCACCTGGGGTCACGCATACACTCGTGCCTGAAGTGCCACAGCAGCTCCTTGTCCTCAGGACTGAGTGGATGTAAGGGGTCAGTAGACACAATCGCCTCAAACTGCTTCTTCAGGTGGTTTGGCATTTCTCTCTGACCCCGCTCGCCTCCCTCGGCCTCCTCAGCCCCACAATCCCTGCCCATGTCCCTGCTTTTGGGCAGCACCACAGGGTAGCAATACTTGTCCAGCAAAATGGCGACAGCCATGGACGAGGCCTTGTCTGGGTTGGTGGCTGACGTCAGCTTGTCCGCATTGATGCTGCTGCTGCTCTCCTCGCTCTTCTCGGGCATCTTCCACATGTGGAGGATGAACTCGCCTTGGCGGAGCAGAGAACGGTGGTCGACAAGTAGCAGGTTGACGTAGTACAGGAGGCGGTTCTTGGTCTTCCCTAACAAAACAGAGAGGAACAATTAAACCAGTCGTCTGAAAGGTTTCCACATGGGTGACGATACTTGAAGAGATTTTACCTTCAAGGCAGCCAGTTCCTGCTGTGTTATCATGGTAGGAGCCACTTTTGGCATTTGGCAGCTGGGGTTGTTTCCCACAAATCACCTGATAGATAAATATAAATAAAACTTTGTGTGATAGATTGGACAGTGCATGAATTACACCTCATTTACAGCTTTGCTACTTTAGACCAACACAGTTGAGCCGATTTCAACCAATAAAGTCACTTTGGCCTTGGCAGTTCCTGAGGAATATACACAACCGTAAACTTTCTTCAAACTTGTTCAAGCAAAGCAAATGTGAAGAAGTGGCTGGATTTGGTTGAAACTTTCAGAAAATTCTTGAAGTTTAAAGTGATCAAGTTTTGGTCAAAAACAAATTGGACCAACTAATTTGTGTCCTACACAAGATCCTACAAATTACCGTAATTTGCAGACTATAAGCCGCTACTTTTTTCACACTCTTTGAACACCACGGCTTAAACAATACTGTGGATAATTTATGGATTTTTTTTTATTTTTTTTTGACAGGCTAAGGAGCTTCATGCCGCCAAAACATTTAGCCTCGTCAAACCTGGACGCTCACATAGCTGACCAATACACATTTCTCTTTGGGGGTGGGTCCTTGTGACTCAATGAGACTACCTGTATAAATAAAGGTTAAAAAAATCTGACCAATGAAATTACCGAACAGGTCACAGTAGACCAATGAAACTTGGACAGTGTTGAAACTTGAAACTTGGTTTCATTGGTCTACTGGGGAGGTCCCTCCTCTCTCCATTCTCTCCTCCCCTCCTATTGTGCCCCCAGGGAGGGGGCGTAACCCTTCCCAAATGGTTTTGTTAAAGGAAACACTCAAATCATTTGTTCAAACTTCAGACAATCATTCAGGGATGGTAATATTTATCTTTGATTTGAACTATTATATAGAACTTGGTGAAAGATGAGGTTGTCCAATTACTTTTCAGCCTAAATTTCTAAACAATTTATCAATACGTACTGGCAAAGTCAGTACTAGGAGATATAAGGCCCTGCTCTGTAAACTACCCTACCGTAGCCTTAATTACCAGAGCATACAATTCTGATTGGTCTAGCTTCACTCCTTATTAAAACCCTTAAAATTACAGTTGAAGTCAACACTTTATTCACATCTTAACATTTTTTGTGTACGAGTAACGTACTTGGCCAATCTAATGTTCTTCCACTGCCCTTGATGCCCATACCTAGTTTATGATTTGATGATAAGCCATCCGACAAGAGTCTCATCAGCCGTATTATATTCGTCCATTACGGACTGTTTTTAGTCTCTTCATAACAGTTGTGGCTAAATATACTCCCGACAATCATTTTTAAAGTTAAACTGATTTCTGTAGACCTTCTCAAGTCCCCTCACTTGGTGCCCCATCCCTATCTTTGGAAAGAAGCCAAAGCATATAAAACGTGTTGCGAGTGCCATAATGACAAATGGAAGAGAGGGAACATTTTAGATTTACCTCAGTATTCAACAATATTACAACAGCATTACTAGTACTAGTAAGGCAAAAATTAAACAAAACTGTATCTCTAATCTAAATACTCAAACTCCCGATCTGGTCGACAACTGCTGACACTAATGTAGCGCTAAGCTAGTGCGCAACACAGACCACCTCGAAGAGATGAGCGCCCTGCCAAGTGACCTAGAGGAAACACTGATACTGAACTTATCCAGAAGGTACCTGCAGGTTGAGGCGTGCTCCTTTAGGCAAGTCCTTGATCTTTATGTTAAACTCCAACCAGCAGTTCCACAGAACTTCTTCGTTGAACGTTTTTGAAGAGGTCCTCTCCTAAAAGATTTCACTCAGGGTCAAACTCTAGGGTTTACAATCTGCTCAGTGTATGTCTGGACACAATTACATTTATGAAAAAAAAATAATAATCTGCTTTACAGTGAAAACTTTTATGTTCTTTAGAAAACGATGTGCCACCTGTGATACTATTTAGGACTTCTTTATGTAACATTTACTGCAGTTTCATTCTGTTGCCACTGCTCCAGTAAAAAATAAAGTCCATCCATGGATAAGTCCATCACAGGGACACATAGAGACAATCAACCATTCACTCTCTCTCAACTAGGGACAATTCAGAGTTACCAATCAGTCTAACGCGCATGTTTTTGGTCTGTGGGAGGAAACCAGAGTACCTGGAGAAAACCCACACATGCACGGAGAGAACATGCAAACTCCACCCAGAAAGGTCTCGGTCTGAGATTTGAACTAACGACTTTCTTGCTAAGAGGCAGCAGGTCTACCAACTGAGCCACCGTGCCACGTGATATTAAAGGTATTCAACAGGAAAAATACAGGGTGGCTTTTGGTTTCTTGGAAACGTATTTATTTATTTTTTAACTAATGAGGGTTTGTATGGGGCGGCACGATGGCGCAGTTGGTAGAGCTGCCGCCTCTCAGTGAGCAGGTCACTATGGTTCAAATCCCAGTTCGGGCACCTTTCTAGATGGAGTTTCCATGTTCTCTCTGTGCATGCGTGGGTTTTCTCCAGGTACTCCAGTTTCCTCCCACAGACCAAAAACATGCATGTTAGACTGACTGGTAACTCTAAATTGTCTCTAAGTGTGAGTGAGAGAGTGAATGGTTGTTTGTCTCATTTGTCTCTATGTGTCCTCGTGATGGACTGGAGACCTGTCCAAGGTGTCCCCCACCTCTCACACTGATGGCTGGACAAGTGACCCCTGCAATCCGAAACGAAAGATGCGGTAAAGATGATAGATGGATGGGTTTGTATATTTATTAAAACATTTCTAAATCTAAAATTTGAACTTCAGACGTTTTTATTTGCGTTTTACTTAAGTGACATGTTGATATAACCTGAGCTAGAAGCTGCTGCCCGTGAAAGATGCTGGCCTCTACGAAGACAGTAAAGTCTGGGACTTTAGGGAGGGTTGGGATGTCGATACCCAGCACTTTCACTCTGAACTTCCTGTTACAGTCCCACATGGAGATAGTGAACACTCGCTCGTGGTCCTTTTCAGCGATGGTCAACTGCTCATGAGTGCCTATGACAAACAAGACATTAGGTAAGACTGACAGTTGGTCAAATTTAATATACTTGGGCAGCACTGGAGATACCTGCAACTCCAGTGCAATCATCCACTTGGGCCCAGTCCTCCTTCTGGACCAGATCCAGTTCAGGATCAAGCAGCGTTTCCAGCACCAGGTGGATCTCCTCACCATTTTTTAAGCACTGACGGATCCAGTTAAAGTTCTGAAGAGGTTTCTCTCCATACAGGTACTCCTCCCTGCATGACAAGACACTGACTCTGTGACTTTCCAATAAAGAAGTTTGACTCTTCTATTCAGAACCATCCATAAAATATAATCCAATCGGAGTTTTTGTGTATGTCGTACCTGCCACACACACGCAGCACAAAGTCCGACTCGCACACGTTGTCAGGGATTCCCAGCAAAACCCTTTTATTTGCAGTTTTGGCCAAAAAATTTGCCAACACCTAAAGAAGAGGAATCTGTATTGGTACAATAGGCTAACAGGAAGTAGCAACACATAAAACTTAAGATCACTGCTACATTAGCCTACTTCAGAAGGTGTATCATCTATGGAGACCTTGATGGTATGACTGGAAGTGCTGACATGGATCACGACCAGGATGTAACCATTATTCACCTGAGAGAAGCAAAAGTCAGACAGTACTACCACATTATACAGACTTCGACAAATCATTATACAACAATCTATAACAATGGCCCAGAGAAGCAAAGACCTTGCATAACCTTTGACCTTGGTTTTTGATCATCACCCAAGAGCTGGGGTGATGAAAGAATTATGCAACACTGTTTAATGGTGGTACATGTGGATGAAATTTTGTTAATTACCTCGAGCAGATCAGAAATTATGAGCGGGAGAAGAGAAAGTTTTAATATGTACCGTATTTTACGGCGTATAAGTCGTATATGACAGAAAAAGCATCATGAAGAGGAAAAAAAACATATACAAGTCACTTCGACGTATAAGTCACATTTATTGGCAGCATGACGGCTCAGTGGTTAGCACTGTTGCCTCACAGCAAGAAGGTCCTGGGTTCAATCCCAGGTTGGAACTGGGTTCTTTCTGTGTGGTGTTTGCATGTTCTCTCTGTGCATGTGTGGGTTTTCTCCGGGTACTCTGGTTTCTTCCCACAAACCAAAAACATGTATGTTAGTCTGCCTTCAGGCCCAGGCCTCTCTTGCAAAATAGATCTGTGATTTCAATGGGATTTGCCCAGTTAAATAAAGGTTAATATTATGCGTCACCGCTGACCCGTCGCGTTGATTATTCAGGCTTTATTTTGCCTAGGTGGCACAGCGCCATCCATCCAACCAACCATCCATCCATCACGGCCGGAGCCGCGAGCTCTCCAGCTGAGTGAAGCGAGCGCACACAGGACGACTTGCTGTTGCAGTTTTTCGAAATTTAAAGCATCAGTCAAAAATTGTGTTATGAATATGGGAAAAAATATATACAAGTCACTTCGGCGTACAAGTCGCAGGACTGACAAATCTATTCAAAAAATTGTGACTTATACACCGGAAAATACGGTACATAGAGACGCAAGGACGGAGACTTTACCATAACACGTCTGCCTTTCAGCGGACGTATGATACAAAGGATGAGTGATTAAAACATTGATACAATACTGAGGGACTTAATTACATCATGTTTGTCTCGTGCATATACAGACTTGTACAACATGAGATTTACGTTTTTATTACTCCTTACTTTATATTAACTCAGTCAATACCTTAATAGAGTGAGGCGTTTTTCCAAAATTTATATTTTTCTACACAGATAATGTACATAATATGAGATTTATGTGGAAGAAAGTGTATATTTGAATTTTTATTTATTTATTTATTTATTTATTTATTTATTTATGTACGAAAGACTGAGGTTTTAGTTTTTGGACCTGAGCACCTTAGGAATGAAATTTTCAGTCTTTCGTCTCCTTAGATGGCATTAATCTGTCCTCCAGCTCTAATGTTAAAAATCTTGGTGTTATTTTGATCAGGACATGTCTTTTATCCCCCACATTAAATCTTTACTAGAACCACCTTCTTCCACCTGCGTAATATCGCTAAAATTAGAAACATCTCATCTAAAAATGACGCAGAAAAACTGGTCCATGCATTTGTCAGGTCTAGACTGGACTATTGCAATGGTTTATTATCTGGGTGTCCAAATACTTCTTTAAAACGTCTTCAGTTGATCCAAAATGCTGCTGCCAGAGTCTTAACTGGAGTTAGTGGGAGAGATCATATCTCTCCAGTTTTGGCTTCTCTCCATTGGCTCCCTGTCAAATCCAGAATATAATTCAAAGTCTTACTTCTAACCTACAAAGCTCTCAACAACCTAGCCCCATCTTATCAAAGCAAATATGTTCTTGTTTTATATATGGCACATTGATTTTATTGTTTTATAACACCTTTATTTAATTTGCATTTCATTGTTGTTTATTGTTGTCTGTCTAAAACAGGTTTCTCTTGTAAATGAGTCTTTGTGACTCATTGACACTAACCTGTATAAATAAAGGATGAATGAAAAAAAAATCTTATATTACAGATCTTATTGTTCCATATTTTCCTAACAGGGCACTTCACTCTCCGACTGGAGGCTTACTTGCGGTTTCTAGAGTTGCCAAAGGCAGAACAGGAGGAAGATCTTCCAGTTCTCAGGCTCCTCTCTTGTGGAACCAACTTCCAGTTTCTATGCATGAGGCTGACACATTGTCCAGTTTTAAGACTGGGCTTAAGACTTTCCTTTCTGATAAATCCTATAGTTGGCTTGGGTTTACTGAGCAACCCCTTAGTTATGCTGCTATAGGCTTTGACTACTGGAGGACAAAATGACCACATTTCTTCACTCTGTACTCTGCTCTACTTGTTTGTGTTTGTAATTATTTCTGTTGTTAACTTTTTTTTGTATCTTTCTTCCTACTTCCTATAGAAAGTTCACCTGGACCTGCCATTCTGTGTTTGTCTGTTTCTCCTTTCTGTCCTTTCGAACCCCACCTGGTCAAAATAGATGGCCACTCATCCTGTGCCTTTTTCTGCTGGAGGTTTCTTCTTGTTAAAAGGGAGTTTTTCCTTTCCACTGTCTCCTTTGTGCTCGCTCAGGATGGGAGACTGTGACGAAGTGAAGATTCAACACAATCTGCTGCTTCCATCAATAACTTTTACTAATTTATTTTATGTATGCGAATGTTTCTGTTCAGTGCCCTGAGATGACTTCTGTTGTGACTTGACGCTTTATAAATAAACTGAATTGAATTGAAAGACGACCAATATGAGATTGCTGCAGCAATCAGTTTATAAAACGAAGGTTCAGTTAACATGGACACACCTTGGAGAGAAGGTGCTCAGGCAGTGGTTTGCAGGTGACCCAGGGGTCCATGGAGTAAAGCTTTGGGTCACGGTCGGACAGCTCGATGCGCCGCGGCGTCAGCAGCTTCCTGCGAGTGAACTCCAGCTCATCGTCATGGACGTTGCTGACATCAGTCGCGTCGTAGCCAATTAGGTAGTTCAGGTAGCGCTGATACTGCTGGGACTCATCTGTGGACTGAGGTCGAGGCACCAGCTGGATCCGCCCTACATCCTTCTTTAGGGCTAATCAAATAAAAAACATCTTTGCTTTAAAAGGGATGGTTTGGAGAAGAACCACTTGTGAGAGAACAAATAAAAAGGAAAGATTTCGTAATGTTATCACTCAGTCATCTACAGACAGTTCAGAAGCACTCCACTGGCCTTTTCATGCCATCAATGAACACAAGCTCATTGTCTGACTCCAGGGAGCAGTGGTAGTACTGGTACCTCTCCAGTAGCGTATGCAGTCTAGAGTCTGGAAGACCTGGTGCTTGTCGTAAATCTCACAGATGGTGCCTTTCTTCTGGTAGAGGAGGATGCAGTGGTCAGGAGAGAACCGCTGGTAGAAGTCAGGACAGAGGTTTAACGTCACCGCCTTCATCCAAACCTGAGCCTTCACCTGAAAAACAAAACGACAAATGGTGTCTTTCATTTAATCATTGGGGCTTATGTTCAGAAAAATGACTAACATTTATTTTTTTTTGATAAATTGTTAAAACAATAATAACCTGTTCTACGGTCCAGTTCCCAGCCACCTCCAGCAGCAGAGAGTTGGAGCCGTTCCCTCCACGCCCCATCTTGGGCAGCACAAACTCTACTGTGACCTTATCCATGGAGGTAGAGGAGGAAGAGGTGATGCCTTTCTTTCTCCTCCTCCTCCGGTATTCTTCTCGTGGCACTTCACGCTCTTCGTCGCTCACCTGGATCTGTTGCCGGTCCATTGCCTAGCTTGGACACAACACAGCGTTAATTACTAACATGTAACTGTGCAGATATCTGGTCCGTTCCTGCAAGGAACAATAAATACAAAGTGCTACATTCATGAGAAACAAAGAATATGGCAAGACGGCTCAAACTACCTTTCCATTTTGAGAGCATTTTGAAGAATTCTATTGCTGGACAATTTTTTCACCATAGTACATTTGCTTGTGGAGTGAGTAGGGGGTGGGGGTCCCAGCACAGCTGCCAGGTAAGCGACACAGCCCTTGGCACCTTCTCATCTCCTAGGTTGCTGCACCATGGAAGGCAAGGGAGGCCAGTGGAGACATTGAGTTTGAGAGAAGGTTGTAGCACAGCACAGTCCAGAGCCCGCCATTAGCCATAGTCCTGATAAGAGGTGTTTGTTTATCAGTCAGCTCGGTTGAGCTCTGTCACAGGTCCACAACCTTGGGGAAGGGAGGGGGTGGGGAGGTGGACAGAGTGTCTTTGTTTCCATATCATCCAAGGAGAAATTGAGATAGTCCGCCTTCCAAGGCCAGGTCCAGATTCAGATATCAACATTGTTTTGAGTCAGGCTGAACTCGTGAATTTCCATGTCCACCTCAACAGTCTCGCTAGCACATTATTGCGCATGAACTTAGATGTTTTGAACCACTTTGGCTATGGCTGCCTCAGAGGAGTCAACGGGGGAGAGGGTGGACTCCAGAAACCATCTTATCACCATCAAACTGGTTGGCCCAGAAAAAAAAAAAAATCTGTATGCCTCTTTTATGATTGTCCACTGTTGTCATCATTCTTTGTTGAAATCAGGTCTCTCTTGTAAATGAGTCCTCGAGGCTCAATGGGATTAACCCGTCTAAATAAAGGTTGAATGGCCCACTATTTGAGTGTGCTATTAATGGGACTGAGTTTGTTACAGCTCCTCGGACTAAAGAAGTCTTTTGGATGAAAGACGAAACGTTTCAACACAAAGAAACCGTCCAGAGGACCTGACTTAACTTTGTTGGATTCAACATTATCTTCATGTGCTCGTAAGTACGATGCAGAATTCAGTTTTGAATCAATAAGAGCAGAAAACCCTCTCCATAACATTACACCAAACATGCATGCTGTTCTTGTTGCAAGAAAACTACTTTTCATTTGTCTGTACGGAGCACAAGGTCACAGAAGATCTGGTGTTGGCCCATGTGTTCATAACCAAACTGCGTTTTTCTCTAAAGTGTGTTTTGAACAGCAAAACAAGTTTTTAAAGTACTACTACCAGTAACTTTGGTATACCTTGCTAAACAGCTGCCAGAAAGAAAATTTTTAAGAAAATGACAAGTTTTGTCATAACTGGACATTCAGTATACTGCATGCCCTAAGAAATGTCCAAAACACTTAGAGCTACTATACCAGTCGGCAAGTTAAGACTTAAAACTGATGACAAGACTATTATAAAAAGACTGAACAATTATGACTGGTTCGGAAAATGAGAAAAGATTAGCAAACGATGATGGTGAGTCAACCATCAAACTGGTAGATTCACTATGTAAAGGTGCTGTTTATAAGACTGAGTTTGTTGTGGCTCCTTGGACTGATGAAGTCCTTAGGATGAAAGATGAAATGCTTCAACAAGAAGAAACTGTCCAGAGGACCTGACTTAGCTTTGCTGGATTTTTTTTTTTTTTTTTTTTTACCTGGATTATTGAGCAAGAACTTTGAGGTGAAAATGTTAAGTTTCTAAAGTTGTATCTAAACAAACAAGCGCCTCACTTATCAAGCACGGCGGTGGAGGGCTCATGATATGTGTTTGTTTTACAGACTTTTGAAAACCTTCCAGTCATTAAGGCATGCATGAAAATGAGACCCTCTGTTCAACATCTTGGATTTTGCGCAGATTGGCCCAATTTAAGCTTCAATTAGGTCCTTTTCCAACATTGTGGAGGAAATTCTGGCTCACCCCTTTTTTCTCTTTGCTTAACCAAACTGAGCTTTGCAGACAAAAGTTTCGGTGCAGCTCTCTTACATGCGAGTTTAAGCTTTTCCACAGACGACTTCTTCTTCTTTTGACTTTTCCCTCTTCAGGGCTCACTACAGCGAGTCATCCTCCTCCATCTCACTCTGTCCTCTGCATCCTCTGTCCTCACTCCAACTACCTCCATGTCCTCTCCAACTGCATCCAAATATCTTCTCTTTTTCCTGGCAGCTGCATTTCTAACATCCTTCTACCAATTTACCCACTGTTCCACCTCTGGACATGTCCAAACCATCTCAGTCTGGTCTCTCTAACTTTATCTCCCAGTTGTTCAACCTGTGCTGTACCTCTGATGATCTCATTCCTAATCGTATCCATCCATGTCACTCCTAAGGAGAACCTCAACATCTTCATTTCTGCCACTTCCAGTTCTTTATCTTGTCTCCAGACCATACAACATAGCTGGTCTCACCTCTGTCTTGTAAACGTTCCACAGACTGATTTTACAACATATACATTAGGGGTGCAACGATTGCAGTTTTCTGGCCAATCATCGATTTCTAAAAAGTCTGACCTGCCGATTCTGATTTTGTCCGATACCGATTTTGTTTTATAAGTGACACTGTCAGGTCACAATGCGCATTAAATTTTCCAATCTTATTTTATTGAAAAACATACCCTTGAGCAATATCTTAGAAACAATTAGGGATGGGGCCGATCCGATCCAGTATCAGGCTCCGATACCAGCATAATTTACGTACCGGATTTTTCCGATCCATGATGCAAGTTGGCTTCAAACTACGGAATGGATTTCCTGAACGGAGGCGTGTCTCATGAACCCAGCGTAATAAGACCTGGAATTAAGGAAATTAAGGAAATCGGGCCGCTGCACCCCTAATATACATGATTTATATATACACATCTTGCTTAACTCTGAATGCCAGAAAACACCTTGTAACCACTACCTTCCTACTGGCCATTGACTATGGTGACATTATTTACATGAATGCCCCTGCCAGCTGCTTGCAGATGTTGGATGCTGTCTACCATGGCACACTAAGATTCATAACTGGTTGTAACTACTGTACCCATCACTGCACCAGTGCACCCTGTACTCCTTGATCAGTTGGTCATCATTATCTACACGTAGGCTGTCACACTGGTTCATGTTCATCTATAAATCCCTCCTTGGTCTGCTACCTGCTTATATCTCCTCCCACATGTCACGCCGTCAGTGCAGTTACAGCGTGCGCTCCTGGACATCATTACCTGCAGCGTCCCCTCAGTGCGGACTGAACTTAGCAAAAAGGCCTTTTCCTACTCAGCTCCTGGAACACCTTGCAACAGGAACTGAAGTTGTCCATCTTGATTTCTTTAAGGGGTTTCAAACATTTGATAATGTCAATAGAAATATCAAAGCAAATATGTTCTTGTTTTTAGTATTTCACCCTGTTTATTGTTTTATACATTACTCTTATTTTAGCTACATTTTTACTGTGGTTTATTGTTGTCATTGTTTACTGTTATTGCTGTCTGTACTTTATATGTTCAGTCTGGAACAGGTCTCTGTTGTAAATGAGTTCTCGTGGCTCAGTGAGACCAGACTGATGTTTGATTTAACTGATGTCAAGAGTGATTTTTTTTTTTTTTCTTTCTGTTGTTCACACTTATTTGGGCATTTAACAGAGAAGCAGGAGTGATTTTGTGTGAACTTGAGATTTAGCCTTTAAAATGTTAACTATGACTGCAGTTTTCTAAATATGGCAAACTTTGCACAGGCACACTTTTAAAAAGTCGTCAAACTAAAACACGAAAAACATGTTTATTTACTTTCCATGACACAATTTTGCCAAAACAGAATCATTTCTGTTATATTTACTGTTAAAACAGGAAGTTTAATGACTTACTCTTGATTCATGTTCATAGAAATCAGGTTAAAAATCCTGATAGAACTATATATAAATACTAAAAGTAAATATCCAGTTGAAGTCAAACATTACTTTTGCATAGTGTGGGTTTAATGGGACATTCCTGAACATATTAAAGTGCTTTTGAAACTTTTTGTGGCACTAAAAACAGCTGTCTGAACAAAAATAAGTTAAGTGGAGTTTCCCTTCTGCTTCTTTAGAGTCAGCAGAGGAAGCGACGAAAAGCAGGAAGTAGTTAAACCAGTGGATGTAGCTGAAAACAGTTTTATATCTGTCAAACACGTCCTTTAATACAAGTTGTTTTAAAGTTAACACTAAAGGAAACAGCTCTGAGAGAAGCAAACACACGCCCGGAGTCACAACAGAAGCAGCCTGGTGTAACGGGACTGCTGCCATAATAATCGGAAGGAATTAGTCAAATACACAAAAAGCTTTTATTTTGACTCACCAATGAACAGAGACGGCAACGAAACCCGGAGCCCCGCGAGAAAATGTCGGCATTTATGCTGAAGAAGAGGACGTTCAAGCTGAGCTCAAATCTGTTGCGACAGCACAGAGGCGACAAACTGCAGCCCCTCGGCTGAAGCGTCACCTTCACCGTTACTCGACAAGTTTTCTAGTAACAGCGCAAACAACGAGGTTTCCGGTTTCAAAATAAAACACCGGAAGTCGACAACAAAACGGAAGCTTATCCTGGTGCGTGCTCAGTTTGTTTGTTTGTTTGTCATTTTTATTCATTTCATATTTAAAACGCAAAACCAATTTAGAAACCAAATGAAAAAAAAAAAACACGTCACAAAATGAAAGGTAGCAGAAGAAGAAAAAAATCTTATCATATCTGCCCCTTGTTTGAAACAAAATCAATTCAAACAATAATCATCTATAAGTAATATAACACAATAAATAACTCATCACAATTTTACGTATTTATATGTATCTTTCCAAAATTTTTATCTTAATCATTTTCTTAAATATAGGCAATGACTTTACTTTTTTACATCGTTCATACATCTCAGTAATGTATGAAACATCAAAACGCTCTAAATGAAATAAATAAAGCATTATGAAATTTAAAAAAAATGGCTTATTTCACAATGGCTCATTTAATTCATAATACCATACCATTTTATTTATAGAGCAGTTAAAACAGCGGCAAGGCCAACCAAAAATGCTGTACAGACAGAACAACAGGTAACACACAAAGCAATATACAAAATGAGGTAAATCAGAATATAGACATAAAAATAATGCAGATAATGACGACAAACCAGTGTGGAGCATACAGGTTCAAAACACAGATCATCTGGTGTTGAAAGCTACTGAATAGTAGTGAGTTTTTAAACAGGACTTGAAAACCGAGAGGGAGGGGGCCTGTCTGACAAGCAGAGGTAACTCGTTCCAAAGTCTTGGTCCTGCTACAGAGAAGGCCCTGTCACCTCTGCGCTTAAGACGAGTTCCTGAAACTGTGAGGAGCAACTGGTCCGCTGACCTCAGGGAACGTGGAAGGACATACGGTTGTAGCAGATCAGTGAGATTGGAGGGGGCAGAGCTGTTCAATGATTTATAGACATTCAAGAGTATTTTGAACTAGATTCAAAGGTGAACTGGTAGCCAGTGCAGGGAGGCCAAGACTGGTGTAATATGCTCTCTCTTGCCTGTACTGGTTAAAAATTGGGCTGCCGCATTCTGGACCAGTTGTAGTCGTGCTATGGAGGTCTAACTGATACCAAACAGGAGCGAGATGCAGTAATCGAGTCTGGATGTTATGAATGCATGTATTACTGTCTCCAGGTTATTTTTGGACAATATGGGCTTAAGCTTAGACAGCCGCCTCAGCTGGAACAAACAGCATTTAACAATCATGTTTACCGGTACCTGACTGTTAAGTTTCATGAAAGAGTCCATTATCTCTCCCAGATTTGTGACTCTTTGTTTTTTTAACAGGACTAGAGCAGAAAGGTTGATGCAATGGTTGATGATTGAGTCGTTGGGAGGGAACAGCATGACTTCAGATTTCTTCTCATTGAAACTTAAGAAATTTAAAGCCATCCAGTCTCTGATGTCAGCCAGACAGTCAAGCAGAGGTTGAGTAGAGTGTGTACCATTGTGTCTTGAGGAGAAGTAAATTTGACAGTCATTGGCGTAGAAGTGAAAGAGTATGTTGTGTTTCCGGAAAATAGCACCAAGTGGCAGCAGGTGTAAAGAAAATAGCAGGGGACTGAGGATGGATCCCTGCGGCCCCCCCCCCCCCCCCCCATTTAAGTGCTGCCGATGCTGAACTAAAATCTTTGATGGTGACACAAAAGGACCTGTCAGCTAGATAGGATCTAAACCATTTGAGGGCTGACACTGTGATGCCCACCCACTGCTCCAACCTAGCAATGAGGATGTTGTGGTCGATAGTGTCAAAAGCAGATGTAAGGTCCAGTAAGACAAGGAGCACAGAATCACCAGCGTCTGTGGATAGGAAGTGTTTATGCGTGCTCATCTGCTCACACAGACTCATGTTCATGCTGCTGTTCGACGTAATGTTTGTATGCTGTTAGTGCTTAGTGTATTATTTAGCTGTATAGTAGAATCCTGGCCTGATGATGTTGATCTTCTGTGCTGGGCCATCCTTTTGGCCAGTGGCTGTTTTGTTTCCCCGATGTAAGACTGATCACCCTCCTGACACTGAACAGCATACACAATATTACTCTGTTTGTGCCGAGGGACTGGATCTTTGGGATGAACCAGTCTTTGCCGCAATGTATTTGGGGGTTTAAAAGCCACTGGGACGTTATGTTTAGAAAATAAACGTCTCAGCTTCTCTGATACTCCCTCAACTTCTGCGGTCTACTCTCGTCTCCAGGCCAGCGGTCACTTGTTCAGCGATGAAGATGTTCACATCCTGGACAGAGAGAAACGATGGTTTGAGAGAGGAGTAAAGGAGGCCATCTTTGTGAAAAGAAATCGTCCATCATTAAACAGGGGTGGAGGCCTCCGGGTTAAACTGTCCCCCTCTTACAATGCTGTTATTGCTAGTATCACTCCACCCCCTGTGAATAGTAAACAGCCATCTGTGTGCTAATGATCCATTGTTAGGCTGATGGTCCTTCTTGACCATGTGAGCAGCTGGTTTTGGTTGTCAGCATCAAACTGGTTGATCCACTCTAAGAAGGTGCTATTTAAGAGACTGAGCTGAATACAGCACCTCAGACTGAGGAAGTCTCTCGGATGAGAGATGAAACGTTTCTACTTTTTTTTTGCTTTGTTTTGTTTTTTTGAATGTCCAGAGGACCAGATTGAACTTTTTTGGACTTTCTTTTTGTAGTTCTGAACTATGACCACTAGAGAGCAGTAGAATAATGCTGTGTGCTTCAAAATTTTTATACAGTACATTAATTTGAGTCCATTTGCAAGGAATGTAGTTTTTCGTACACTTCTGTATATACTAACACTTTTTTTTTCAATTAATATACAGTACTTATAATAATTAGTGTCCCTAAAGGGTATATTGTGCTCATCTGTTCCAAACACTTATGTTTAAAGATGTGTTTTTCTTATTTATGTTGAACTATTTATTTAACCAGTTCAACCCACGCAGTTTCATCATTTAGCTGGTCAAAACAAAGAGAAGAGTTCGCTCCTGAGTAACCAATAGGAACGCGACTCGCCTTTGATTGACACTCACGCGGACCAATAGGATAAGTTTGAACACTGTGTTTACAACAACCCCCTTTTTCCGTACAAGGCGACTGTTTTGGTGAGTCAAGAAAAGTTCATTGAAGTCATTGACTTAATTTCAAGCGTTGAATTTAAGACTTGAGTCCGCAGGTGTAATTATTTGTCTTAAATCTCGGCTCAGGAGTGAAAACATGAAGCTGACAGCGCTTGTGTTTTGCTGTAAAGGCAGTTTCGCAGCGCTTCATTGTTGTTGACGTTTGTTTTGTTGAAATGCCTTCTGCGCAACAGGTCGTATCATTTTATTTTTTTTTACTATTTAATGGCATTTTCACCATCCAGAACTTGTTCTTGACCCTTAGTCGTTCTTTATAAGTCAGACTGAAACGCTTTTGGTAGTTTTGTTCTTAACATAAAACGAGAGTACTTTGTTTCGTGACAAACATTTCCTTTGAAGAAGAAAAGGTAAAATAATGTCGGCAGCTGTTGCATTCAATGACCGTCGACCGTGTCACATTCTTCTACTTGTATAAAGTGATTTACTTTGAGTTTAGTCGGGTTCGACTCCACTTTTTAACCAGATAATCACCGTGCTCGGTATTGAATGAATGGGCCTTTTGTGCGCATGCGCATTGGCTCAAAGGTTTATAAACAAGACTCGGGTCACCTGATTAGAAAAGATTAGATAAGAGTGACGTGGGCTCTTACTTTCGTGTCTAAGTGTTTTAAATTTAACATTTCCGTGTTTTTTTTCTATTTCTAATAAACACCAACTGAGTTGTGATGTACAAAAAGTCTAAATGTGTCAGAGTTTGGAGGGATGTGTCCGCTCTAGTTATCTGTACATCCCAGCTCTGAAAGATGCGAGTGGGTGACGTCATGCTGATGCAAGCGTTTGATTTAAGCCTTATTTCCTTGTAAAATAGGAATAACCCCTTAAAACAAATACATGTTAAACATGTAGTTTAAAACCTGCACATCGACTGTGTGTGTTTCAGGTGGACAACATGGTGTGGGAGACAACTCTGCTGACAAGAGACCCCACAAGTCCCAACATGCAGGAGGCTGAGCAGACTGAACAGAGAGGTAACTGAGGATTCTGTTGTTCATACTGCGCTTTAGGATTATTTGCTTCACAGCTGTTTATTGTAACGTCATCTCTGCAGCGTCCATTGTCTTTAAACTTCACGTGATCATTTTGTACTTCAGGTTTTCCTCAGATTGCGTTGTGTTCAACTCCAAGGCAAACCTGAAACTTTTTTCTTTTTTTTAACAAACACACACTTCATATTATACAGTTAAGAATAAATTTGTTGTTTTAACCTGTGACGTGACTAACCTCGTTAAATATAGTTTGAATAAATTAAATTCAGTCTATTTATATGGCACCAAATCACAACACAAGTCGTCTCAGAGCACTAAACAAAAACATTTGCATGCATATAAAATCAGTTAATAACATTATTTCTCTAAGGAGCCAACAGATCACTTTGAGTTTTCACTTCCTCACAGTCTCCCATCCTAAGCAAGCACAGAGGCAACTGTGGAAAGGAAAAACTCCCTCCTGAGGAAGAAACCTCCAACAGAACCAGGCTCAGGACAAGCGGCCATCTGCTTCGACCGGTTGGGTTTGAGAAGACAGGAAGGAGCAAACGAACTCACAATGATAGGTCCAGGATGGAGGCCATCAGGTTTACTCTGGGAGGAAAAAAGACATAAATCACTTGTCAAGCAAAGAGGGTCATCCAGGTTTTTATGTCTTTAAGACATGCTTGTAATCTAAGTAGCCGATTGGATTCATTGAGTTTAATGGACAAATATAACTGTGTATCATCAGCATAACAATGAAAATGTATCCCATGCTGTTTAATACCTTTATCTAATGGAATCATATAAAGTAAAAAGTATTGGTCCAAGCACTGAACCCTGAGGAACTCCATTGCTAAGTTTGGCGTAAGAAGAAAATTCATTATTTATATTTACAAACTGGAATCCAAAAGGGAAATAAAAAATAAAATAAATAAATTGACGTGGTAATTCAAGTGTTTTGAATTGGGGTTTTGCAGCAGATATGTGATAATATCTTACCTGCTGTAGATAGTTATTTGAACCACCTCCGTTTAGAGAAACAGAGCCGTTAGCTTGTTATTCTGATTCTCATAACGAGCTAATGACGAGCTTAAGGGAAACCCAGATCAAAGTGGATTGCTGCCATCTTGAAACGAGTCTAAGTTGAAAAAAATTTATAGCGAACATGCTAAAGCCCCATTTGAACCTTAACATCACAATCAGTTTTGCATTACGTGTTTATTTGCAAGTTGCAGCAGCTAGCGGTAGCACTTCCGGTGCAGCCTCAAGCACTTTCTGCAGGAGTAATCATTTAATGTAAAAAGTCCAGTAATGTATGAAACACTAAAAAAACTTTTAGGATCAGAGTTGTTGTTTTTTTAATTTTATGTGTGTGGCTTCACTCAGACTAGCCGTTAGCTCATCAGTTTGCTCAAAATTAAAGATGCTAATGATTAATAAAGAATTGACAAAACCAAACTTGTAAAGTGGCCCGACTATCACTTTAATGAAGACGAATCACTCTGTAAAGCTCCTGTTGTTGTTTGTCGTCTCCTTCAGGAACAATAAATACACACGGCGCCCAGTCCCATGATCCTCTGCGGTGTGACGAACACTTCCTCTCTTCCCTTGGCGGCCCCACCAGTGACAGTTACATGGAATACGGTGTGTAATAAAATCAGGAACACAGTAATGACTGAGGGCTTCAGCTTTAATGATTTATTTTAATATTTATGATTATTAATGCTGAGTCAGCATCTTCAGCGCCTATTTGTTTTCCTCTCCCAGACGATCTTCCAGATCTGCAGGAGGTTCAAGAAGAACCGGCAGCTCTGTCCGTGTACAAGGTGGAGGTCGGCGTGTCGCACCAGGAGCGTCACGATCACACACAGACACACAGGCCCCCGCCTCCAGACACACTGTGGCTCACACAGCTGGCGCACATCGCCACCGGGCCTCAGAGCCCACTGCTGCAGGACCCTGCTCACAGCAGGTGGGTGGTCTTTGTACACCTCATGTCACCAAATAACAACAGGTACCAACAAAAACCTGATCATTTCAATTACACACTATTGAGCGCACCTGAATATAAGCCACGCACAATAAATTTAAAATAAAAAATGTGCACATATAGGCCACACTTGTCTATAAGCTGTGATATTTACGCAGAATTTTTTAAAAACTTTTAATTAAGTACTATAGAGTGGCAGCACACAGCTACTGACAGAAGTGCAGCTCTTGTTGTAGATCCAGAATCAACCACCAGGTGGCGTTTTATTTAACTGTTCAACAGAGTAGACTTGTGTTCGGGCCTAATAAATCCGACCTGGCCCAGACCTAGCCCGTAGTCTCCCCCGTAATTCGAGGGCCGAACTCGAAAAAAATAAACTTTTTTTTTTTTTAATTAAGCTTTTACTGCTTTTGTAAGCAAATCAGTTTGACATGATAGTTTTAAAAGCATAAAGAAAGGAAGCTATAAGATTTATTTTTATTAACAAGTCACCAAATGGATATTAACATTCAAAACAAATGGCCTAAAAAAAAAATCAACTCTGAATAAAGAGAGGCTATTACACAGATGAACAAAATATTTTTAGAGCAAAATCATGTGGAAAACTATAGAACAAAACAGTTTTCATTTAGATATAAAAGAAAGCCGTGCGAAATTAAGCTGAGTCATGCTGTCGGCTGGTGACGGAGCGATTTAACTTACGACAGAATAAAACTGGTGTGTGCATGAAAAGTACATTGAAAAGGCTTAAATTCTACAACAGTGCTTATGCTAATACTTTAATAAACAAAATATCTATAACAAACAACAGACAGCGGGTAAAGATGGAAGGAAGGAAACTAATATTGCACAATCTTGAAATGCAACAACAACAGGAGTAATGAAGAACAATGATCCAAAATTCTAAATGTATTTAAAAAGCTGTCAAGAAGTTCTTGTGTTCTCCTTACATGGTTCGTCATGTAAAAACAAGAGCATCGCGGGCCTGAGCGTGCACGTGACACGCATCAGTGTCGTCATTTTAAGTTTGTTTGAATGAGGTTACAGGAAAAGTGCGGTGCCCACCCATTAATCACATTAAAGCGGCCAAGCCCGGCCATAATCCGGGTCGGTCCGGGCCGGGTGTTGCGTTCGTGTTAGAAATGACAGCTCTAATGAACCCCACAGGTCTTCATGACAGCTTCTTCCCTCACTCGTGGTTACTCTACTGAATGGTCGTAACAACAGAACGATGCTAAACAGCTAATGGAAATGATTAACAACGAACATAAATTTTACCCATAATCCCTCCCTGAGGCCATGTGACCGCTTGTCAACCGCAGCAGAATGCTACAGTACGTACCGTAATACTTTGCAGATTTTCAGGCATTTTACTCAGAATTTAAGTCCAAGTACAAACATTTTTTATTTGCTCCAAACACTTTGATCCTCCAGAATATCCAGCTGTTTTTCTTCGCGGAACATTTGGTGTAATAAATAAAATGTTCCTTTGAGCCACTCGAGGGATTCTGTGGTGAATCCAGGAATCACCGCTCCTCTTACCGTCTGTCTCTTTGTGTGTTTTAGCTTCTCTTCAGTCAGCGCCCCGAGCCGCAGCAGGAGTGATCTCCACTCCTACGCTCGGCCTCCTCCTGCGCTCCCCAGCAGCTCCACGTCTCCCCCCCGCGCTCCTGGCAGGGAGCGCCGACGCAGCAGGGTAGAGCTCAGACTGATTTGACGCTTTAAAACCCGTTCCTCTTCAGGCTTTGCGTTTGCGATCCTGGCGTTTGGTTGTTGTTTGCAGACGAGCAGCGAGTGTGGTTCTGCCGTCTCAACGAGGTCGTCTGTGTCCGACGACGAGGACATGGGCTGGAGTTTCTCCTGGCCTCCTACAGCCTGGAACTGTTTCCTCAAAGGTAGAAACCTTCAGGTTCAGACGAAGCACTGAATGAAAGGAAAAACACGGAAGAATGTTTCTTTTCTAGACCAGCTTCTAACTTGTTTAACATTTGATTGACTTATTTTAACACTTTGATTAAAATGTTTCTTCTTCTTAAAACCAGTTAGATGCAACTTTATGTTTCTTGGACTGAACAAACTGTTTGAGTTCGTGCGTGTTTAAAGTGACTTTAAGAGTTTAGTTTTTCTAGTTCACAGACACATCTGGAGTCTTGTCTTCTTGAAAGTCCTATTTATTTTTATGTGTTTTTATTAAAACATTAGTGTTAGCCAGGGGAAGTGTGTGTGTGTGTGTGTGTGGGTGGGGGGGGGGGTGTTCATGGAGTAAGTCCAGCAGGATGTCCCACATCTACTGTATTTTTTGCCCTATAAGTCGCTTTTTTTTTCTCATAATTTGCATGTCCTGCGACTTATACGAAAGCAACGTATTTATGTTTTTTCTCATATTTATAAACCAATTTTTGCTGAGATATGACCATTTCCATTCGTTCTGAATGAAATGTTTGAACACTACCATTTTCAGCCACTAGATGGCACCAGAGTAGTATAGCATGCTGTTGTATCACGTACCGTATTTTTCGTTGTCTAAGTCGCAATTTCTTTGCCTACTTTGCATGCCCTGCCACTTATACGACGAAGCGACATATTTATGGATTTTTTTTCCATATTTTTAGACCAATTTTTGGCTGATATATGACTGTTTCCATTTATTCTGACTGAAATAATGGAGCAGTACCATTTTCGTCCGCTAGGGGCACTAGAGGGCCCACTAGGCTTTTGACGACTACCGGTATACCTGTAGGTGTACCCCATTATTTATTTATTCCAGACCCGCTAAAATCCCATCAGCCCATGCCAAAAACGTCACATTGAGTAGGAGGAAAGAGAGACAACACAACAAGGATTGAGAAAACGCAGAGAAAGAGAAATTCATATTCTGCTGAGTTAGCAGTAAGCTTGTTGGAGACTGGAGGAAGACGGAGGTCACCCTAACGGCCATGAAGTGGTCGAAGAGGGTGAACCGTGGGAGTAATCGAGGTGGGCAGCTCTGGAGGAAAAGGTGAAGACGTGGGCGCTGGAGGAGCGAGCTTCTGGCAGAGGGCTGCGCACGGTGCAGCTACGTCTCCACGCCCTGACGGTTGCCAAGGCGCTTGACATCACAGAGTTTGCGGGTGGACCGTCGGGGTGTTTCAGTTTCATGCGCCGGCACAGTCTCTCCATCAGAGCGCGGACCTCCATGTGCCAAAAGCTGCCGGCAGATTTTACGGAGAAGGCGGAGAGTTTCCGCGCCTTTGTGGACAGGCAGGTGCAGGAGCACAGCATGTCGCCTGACCTCATCATTGATATGGATGAAGTTCCATTAACGTTTGATATCCCAATGGGACGGAGTGTGGCGCAGAAAGGGGGGGAAAAAGCGTGACCATCCTCACCACGGGTCACGACAAGTGCCACTTCACTGCGGTGCTGGCATGCTGCGCAGATGGATCAAAGCTGCCGCCCGTGGTGATTTTTAAGCGTAAAACCATGCCGATGGAGGAGTTTCCTCCGCGCGTGGTTGTGACGGTTAATGAGAAGGATGGACACAGACATGATGAGCGTGTGGCTCACAAAGTGCTACACGAAGCGGCCAGGTGGATTTTTTTTATTTAAGAGCAAAAAAAACCAAAACCCAACTATATCCTTGCCGTCATCCTTGACAAGGCTTGACAAACGTGCTGCAGCCTCTGGACAGTTCTGTGAACCGGAGCTTCAAAGCAGCTCTGCCTTTGGGAACAGTGGATGGTGGACACAGCTTCACGGCTACGGGACGGATGCTGGCAGAACTCTTCGCCAGCGACACAGAGGATGAAGAATTCAACGGGTTTGAATTTAAAAAAAGAAGAAGGTGTTTCTGTCATCATTATGGGCGGGTGGGTTAATGTTAAGGCCGCTTCATTTCACCGGCTTCGTTTTGCCACGTTTTTACCGCAGCAAAACTATTTTTTGAATTTCAGCTGATTTGACCATTACAGTGCATTTATTAAGGAAAAGTTCAACTGAGACACACCTTTGCTATAATTTTGAGCAAACAAGTAATTGTTTTTAAGTGTTAATCTTGTTAAAGTCCTCCCGTGCACGCTCCTGCGGCCGCCGTTCGGCAGCCGATCCATTTTTGGCACAACACCGGCCAGCATTTCCGGGTTGTCAGCGGTGACTCGTAACATAAGCGACACATCAGCAGCGACGCATTATAGATGCAACTTATACGGCGAAGCAACATATTTATGGATTTTTCCACTTTATTGGACATAATTGGACTGATGTGACTTGTAGGGCGGAGCAACACGTACGGTGAAAAATACGGTACATTGAATCCCCTGAATGTTCATCCTGCAGCAGCGGGGTTTTAATACGCTCGTGTTCACAGTAACGTGGAGATGTGAGCACCTGATCTCCGTTTCTGTCTTCAGGAACTCGTCTGCGCTTCCACAGCGGCTCAAACATGGCGTGGCAGGACGTGGAGGACTTGGAGGCTGGTGGAAAGGACTGTGCTGACGAGGAGTGGTCGAGATTTCTGAAGGTACGATGAAGTTTTAGTCCAGTCTCCGTCAGTGGTTCTGATCCAACAAAGTCCTGAATCAGCAGTCAAACCGGTCTCTTGTGCAGAGCTATGGCTCCGAGGGTCTGCAGCTGGTGGAGCATGAAGAGACAGTGTTGTCTGGTCAGACTGTCCTGCAGTTAACCTTTGACCCCGGGGTGTTTGGACATACCCCCGTCACGGCCCGGTGCCAACTGGACCACCCCTTCTACGTCAAAAACAAAGGTAGGAGTGAGGCTGAGGAGAAGACCCCATTCTCTGTTTTCTCTCTAACACTCGCCTTCCTTCTGTCAGGGTGGTCCTCGTTTTACCCAAGCTGGACCGTGGTGCATTATGGGATACCGTGTTATGAAACTGAAGTAGGAGATGTGTGCCTGCCTCCTGGGCACAGAGATGCAAAGCACACAGATGATTCACTGGTTTTTGACACATTTAAAAGGTAAAGTTGTTTTAAAGTTTTGTCTTTTATTTGGTTTATTAAACATCAAAAATCACACAACATGTTCTGAAGCTTTCAGTTCTGTGTAAAGGTTGTAAACAATCAGTAGCTTACCTGTTGTAGATAGCTCAATGAACCACCTCAGTTTAAACTGGTATCATAATTTCTGGACTATTGAGCACACCATAAGCCACGCCCACTAATTTTAAAAAGAAAAATGATTTTGTACATAAATAAGCTGCACTTGTCTATAAGCTGTGGGTGTGCACGTTGTAACATGAGATATTTACACAGAAAGAAAAAAATTTAAATTAAGTTCCAGTAACAAACACAAATACGTACAGGAAACGTTTTTTCTGAACAGTGCTGGTAACACGGCTGGTTAACAAAAAAAAAAACCAGTAGCCTATTAGGAGGTCATCGAACGCTATCTTCATCTTCCTCCTGTGCACTGCGCTCATGAGCTTGTGCTGTCCTCTTCATCACGTTTCCCCCCCTCCCTGGGGGCACAATGGGGAGGGGAGGAGAGAACGGGAGAATGGATTTCTCCAGTGGACCAATAAAACCAATTTACATTGGTCCACTGAGTCATCCAGTTGACATTAAATGCATCCACAATGGAAAGACCAAAGAGTGGCAGCAGCTAGCTGTAGCACCTCTGGTGCAGCCTGGGTCACTCCAGAAGAACAGCGTAACGTGGAAACCATGGCGATGGACGTGTTTTGTCACACGAGATGAGATCTGAACTTTGCTTGTTCCACCATAAAAACCGTGCTCATCGAGTGAATCTTTGCAGCTACGACTTCACTCCTCTGGACTCGTCTGCCGTTTACATGTTGAGCAGCATGGCGAGACGCCGGCGCGCCTCACAGTCCAGCGGGGGAGCCGCTTCCCCCGAGAGAGCCACGTTCCAAGGTCTGGCACCTCAAAATATAAATGAACGTTTTCTAATGCAGTTAGGACGCTGAAGACAGAGAGAAGTGGACTTTCTATCCAGGAGGTAGATTTATAAATTGGAGGCATCCTCCAGAGTGTGACGCGAACCTGTTTACAACTCACCGCAGATAGCCACAGTTCCAGCCATTCCCAGTCCAGACATCACAAGCCAACAAAGAACCAGTTGGTCAGAGCACAGGGAGGCGGCGGCGCCACGCCCAGCAGGTGCAAGAGACCGATGAACGCCTTCATGCTGTTCGCCAAGAAGTTCAGGGTGGAGTACACGCAGATGTATCCGGGCAAGGACAACAGGTGGGTGTGTGAGCCCTGAGGCCGTTTACTGTGTGGCCACGTGCGCTAATGTGTGTGTGTGTGTGTGTGTGTGTGTGTGTGGTGCAGAGCCATCAGCGTCCTCCTCGGGGAGCAGTGGAAGAAGATGCGAAGCGAGGAGCGGCTCGTGTTCACGCTGCAGGCCAAAGCGCTCGCCGACGAGCAGAAGAGGCTCAACCCCGACTGCTGGAAGCGCAAACGCACGAACTCTGTAAGAACACACACACACACACACACGTGCACGCTCCAGTTTATCGTCTGATTCACGTCTTCTTTGTCCGACAGGGATCTCAGGGACATTAAGGCTCCAGAAAGGAGCCCACAGGAGAACACACACGTCCTCTCCCACTTGTTCAGAAAAAAACCGTGCAGAGTTTGTTTTTTTTAAACTTTGATCCGGTCCAGCTTTTCCTCCGCAGCTCCTTTTCCTCTCCTCCGAGGTGCCGCCAGCTGTGGACCCAGCGGAGCAGGTCGTGGAGCGTTCATCCCGTCACACGTGAGATCCTGGTTCGTCAGGTTCTCTCTCTTATGCTTGAATCAGGTGGAGGTTGTGGTGCTGCAGCGTTTTTAGCCAAAGTATTTAACGTAGCCGTTTCTTAAAACTTGTACGTCCTAAACAGAAACACAATATATGAAATTGTATTTTCTTACCTGCGTTACTCAGTGTTGAACAGAACTATTTAACTTTGCTTTAATCAAACTGACCTCAGAGCCCTCGGCTGGTGAGCAGATAAAAGTTCAGGTCTTTTCAAGTAGGGTCCTGCGGAGAGATTAAAAACAAACATCTTACCTGCTGCAGGTACGTGTTTTTCAACAACCTTAGATTAAAAGCAAACATTTAGTTCTGACTGGACTGATGAGCTCACGGCAGCTGCAGCCGTAAAACGACCCCAAACTTGAAGCTAATTTAATTTGAACCTTTACAATGTTGTTTAACATTATGGAGTTATAGCGCTACTGCTAGCTGCTGCTTACACTTTCAAATAACCATCAAATATATGTAAATCACTATTGTGCAACATTGGCAGCAATGGGAAGGTTTATAAAAATGATGTTTGCATAAATTAAGAGATGTTTTAAGAGTAGCGGTTCTCTTTGGGCCCCTCTCGGACTAAATAGCTCATATTCAGGTCTCTGTTGTAAACGAGTCCTCGTGGCTCAATGGACTAACGTGTTTAAATAAAGGTTGAATGAATGAATCAATCCGGTCAAACCTAAACTATTTCTCAGACTGAGGCTTTCGTAAGAGCTATCTGCAACAGGTAAGATGTGAATTGTTCATGACCTTTACACAAACCCCTCTTGAAATGCTTGAACTGTCACTTTAAGGACCGATCTTTCCTCGTGGAGTTTTCGTGCAACGTTCGGCGCCGCTCTGTTCAGACTTCACAGCGTCGCTCATGTTTGCAGACGATGTCCTGGTAATCGCTGCCACCTGGCGATTATTCGGGGGCCAGTGAACGCATCGTGGTGCGTTTGGTCACCACTGACGGAGAAAGACTTTTGGAATCGGGTTGAATTTCCTGTTGGGAGAACAACCAAAGATGCTTTCTACTTGAAAACGTTACATCCAGTTTAAACGTATGGGTTCTTTTATTCGCCGTGTTTAAAGTTTGAGTCAGAGGGGAGAGGGCGCTAAAGGTTTTTTTTTTTTTAAATTAGCTTCCAGTTGTGAAAATAAAACCTTGGTCTGTTCAGCTCCACGTCCACTGAACAGCCACAACGTGGACTTTTAAATGATCTGTATTAATGTAGAAATGATCACTCTGCGTGTGTTTACATGCACCTTTAAAGGACTTTCAAACATTCTGCTCTGCTCTGATTGGTCAGCACCGGTGGTCCGATCCCAGCTACCGCCCAGCATCAGCGCTGGTTGATTTCTACATTTTAATTCAATATTTACCGTATTTTTTTTGGACTATAAGGTGAATTTAAAATCCTTTAATTTTCTTAAAAACCGACAGCGAGCTTTATAATCAGATGTATGTATTCTGGTTGTGTTTACCGACCTCAAACCAGTTTTATGTGGTTACTGTGACTGAGTTGAATAAAGTTGGACTTATCTGTTTAGTGTCACTTAATGCGCCGTATAGTCCAAAAAATACGGTAATTGGACAATGTTTTGACATCACCTGAAATAAATAAAAAAAAATCATGAATATAACAAACGTTAGTGTTTTGTACAACTAAAAACATTTAATCAGTTAAAAATACATATTTCAACCGTGAACGCTCCGTTCAGAACAGGAAGTTTCATTAATTTGTCTTATTAAACAAAAATAAACTGATTAGGCCTATATGAGTTTGTAATTCTAACGTTGAATTTCTGGGGCACATTAATAACCCTAATAAAAAAGCAAGTATATTATACTAAGTTTCAGTTTTTTTTAAATCTAAACCCCAGTACAGTAAATACTTTGTACCTTCATTTCAATATAATTATGTGTATAATACTGAAATTAAAGCTAGTTTTGTGTTTGCTATGAGACGTGTGAGGAGAAGAGGTGCAAGTTTCACATTTACTTTAATAAATGAGGTTAAATCTACGGAAGCCTGTTACTGCCACCCCAGTAAAAAAAAAAAAACTATTTTAATTATTCTAGTAAGTTTATTGTTCAAATATCTTTTTCACGTTTGTCAGTATCTTGCAGTACATGTTTTGTTAACCTTGGTTTACATTACTACAATGTACCTACTTATGCTTTAATGTGAATTTCTTTTATGTTTGAGCTATATGCTTTCACGTTTTTATAAGAACATTCATTATGATTGAGTTATTTTTTAGAACGTGGTATGTTTTTATTGGAAAGTGAAAACGTTTTACATGACGACATTGCGAGAATATGAAAATATTGCATTGCAAAGTAAAACGGATATAACTGAAACAATCTTTTTACAAGGTTTTTATTGGGTTGCAGCAATATGCTTCCATACTTATGTTTTAAAAAAGTACTAAAATGAGTAATTTATGCAATACTTTTGAGACAAATACCATACATATGTAAAAAAGTACTAAAATTAGTAATTTATGCAATACTTTTGAGACAAATACTGCAAGAAATGCAAAAAAAACCATCAGATTTTTAAAATTATTTTGCTCTTTGTGTTTACGCTTGTTCAGTGTTTGCAACAAAAAGTAAAAAAAAAAAAGTCTGATTACACAAAGAAAACCTAAAGCTATTGTTGACTTCATTAGGGGGCGAACATGAATGAGTAATTTGGGGAAATAATTTGCATTAAAACATTTCAACCAGCTGTAGTGGTCAAATATTTTCTACAACAGTGATCTGGCCAATCACAGCCACTGTTAGCAAAATAAACCAGCCTAATGAAAAATATGTAAAGTACAATTACTTGAAATAACTCGTGAATGTAAACACACGCAGCTTTTGGACTTTCACATGTGTAAACTCAGCTCTGAGTCTTTGAAAACCTTCATTGATAAATAAATCCTCATTTTAAGCCAAGCTCGTCTCCCTGCGTAAAGAGGTTTATACTTAATGCACTATATACACTTTATCTTCTGTGACTGCTACAATAGAATGTTCAATGACAAATATGCATATGACTATACAGGATTATAAATATTTTTTGGTTTGACGTAATCTTTGATAACTTTTGGTGGTTGTGATTTGGATTATTTGTCTTAGCCGTGATGTCAAGTAAAGGTCATTCAGGCAGGACGCTGCCATACCATGTATTCCTGCAAAAATAAAAGCACAATAAATCACTCTTTCTCAGTCTGTTTCTTTAAGATAAGCTAAGATGTATTTTTGTGTACACACATGTATACAGGTGCTGGTCATAAAATTAGAACATCATGAAACAGTTCATTTATTTCAGTAATTCCATTCAAAAGGAGAAACTTGTATATTATATTCATTCATTACACAGACTGATATATTTCAAATGTTTATTTATTTTAACGTTCATGATTATAACTGACAACTAATGAAAACCCCAAAGTCAGTATCTCAGAAAATTAGAACATTACTTAAAACCAATAAAAAAAATAATTTTCTAGAAATGTTGGCCATCTGAAAAGTATGAGCATGTACATCACTCAATATTTAGTTGGGGCTCCTTTTACCTGGATTACTGCAGCAATGCAGCGTGGCATGGAGTGGATCAGTCTGTGGCGCTGCTCAGGTGTTATGAGAGCCCAGATTGATCTGATAGTGGCCTCAGCTCTTCTGAATTGTTGGGTCTGATGTATCACATCTTCCTCTTCACCATACACCATAGATTTTCTATGGGGTTAAGGTCAGGCAAGTTATCCATATACATATATACACATATCCATACATATATACACATTCAATTCAAAAATACTTTATTAATCCCAAAGGGAAATTATTTGTTCTTGTAACTCGTTATTTCATTAAGAGATGTTATAGATGCTGATGGCTGTAGACAGGAAGGATCTCTTGTAAAGTCCATCCCACAGTGGATCCTAAGAAACTGGCTGCAGATGCCGTCCGATCCATCCACCCAGACTCGGCTGGCCTCTTGGTTCCCCTGGGCTGTAGGACCACCCGCATGCCGGGTAACACACACACACACAGAGTAATCCCTCAGTACTTTGCAGTTCGACCTTCACGGACTCACCGTTTCTTGTGTTTTCAACGCAAGACTGTACACGACCTATCGGCTGATTGATGGAAGGCGACCAATCAGAGCGTTATGCTGTATCCCGGGCGCTGATTGGCTCAGTAACATTAGATCAGTCCGTCTGCTCTCTTTCACTGTGCTCTTTTACAGCGTTTAGAGCATTGCAAGAGTGTGGGAAGGGTTTATAAAGCCTTAAAAATATATAAATACTAAAATAAATATAACTCCTCTTCGCAGATTTTCACCTTTCACAGTAGTGTCTGGAACATAACCTCTTTTGTTGTGAGGGACAACTGTATATATATTACGGTGGCCGTTTTGGCAATCCAGTTTTCTAAATGACTTTCTTACACCCAGATGCAGCCACATACTAAAAACAAGTCACTTGCTTTTCTAGTTCTGTTGTTCACAACGTGCACGTGACAGACTTGACGGATGGCATTTCCAATTCCCCCTTTTCGCTCCGCGACGACGGACAATACTTCAGTATCACTTCTTTAGAACATTTGTAAATCACCAGCAAAGCGACATTGTTCAAGATAAATTTCAGAAGAAAAACAACTTGCTGACCAATCAGCTCATACCATAATAATGAAAGTTAGTGATCCATAACTGTGCCAACGCTCCGTGTGCACGGCTACTGTATCGTTTCGTGTTGCGTCTAACAGGCGTTGCCATTGCTTCCCTCGTCCGTTTCATTAGAGCTGTACTCCGTTGTGTTCCTGGCATACATACATGTTAATACAGTGTTGCTCACAAGGTCATGTGTTTGATATGGCATACATTTTGCAGTGTTGCAGTCACGTGGCGCTGTAAGAAAATCAAGAGTCTACAACAGTGTCTTTTTGGTGCTGGTCCTGTATCCATCTAAGATCAACATTACATTTTTATTCCAAAAACCTGGAGCTGGAAGAAATGGACGTTTGTCGTTCTTGTGGGATGTTTGAACCTCACTTGAAAAAGCGAACAATAAGACAATTAAAGATCACCTTGTAGGGGTGGCCGTTGGAATCAAACCTTAAACATGTGATCACATGGGCTCTGTGCTACCCTTTGGAGTATGTGTTGTGAATACTACCAGCTATTACCACACCAAATTATAGAGCAATATGTATAAATATGGAGTTTTTGTCATTTTTGAGTCATCTAAAAATCAGCCTTCTTGAAGTAGGTTGACGATTCTCTCAATGATTTCTTTTTGGAAGTGTCATTAAAAATCAGAGCTCCGAATATATGTTGATGACTCTCGGCTACTACTATACAGTATTTTACATCAAAATCTGTACAGAGAGAGCACCAGAAGAAGAGCCAGAAGATGGTGGGTGAGACGGCGGCTGTAGGGATGGCGCCATCTTGTGGGCCTTCTCTGTCTGTGCACCCTTGCGTCATCAATCCTGATTGATTTCTCCTTCTGTTCTCAGCTGTTTGTGATCTCGTCCCGTCTTGTCTGTGTATTTAAGCCTGTCAGTGAGTCTTGTCCTTTGTCTCGTCGTCGTTGGGTATTGTCCTGTCAGTCTGATCTGTTCCTCGTTCCCTGTTTTTGTAAGTTGCTGCCACGTCAGCCTTTTTGATTTATTATTAAAGAGTATTTATTTTTGCATCCTGACTCTTTCCCTGCTCAAATGGGTTCACTCCTGCCCTGACGTGTCTGAAACCCCGACAGCGGATACATTTGAGACTTCAAGTCGGCCTCTTTCTCAGAATTACAAGAAGATGCTGTGGACGCCACGCATCTGTTACATAACATCACAGGCAACACGATGGATCAGTGGTTAGCACTGACGGCTAACAGCAAGACAGTCTTGCATTTTTATTTCCAGTCTGGACCCGTGTTCTTTCTGTGAAGTTTGCATGTTCTCGTGTTTGTGTAGATTTTCTCCCACAGCCCCAAAACCTGCAGGTTGGGCTGCCTTCAGGCCTCGCTAAAAAGACGTCTGATGTTTACGGGATTTGCCTGATTTAATAAAAGTTAATAATCACTTGTACAAAAACAAAACTGTCACGTCATGCTTACAACTTCCCACCGTTTGATTCAAAACACTATATTTAACACAAAAAGCATTATAAACCCAACATTTATGTAAACGAAACTTGTTACATGCTTTGACCAACAGACGAGGCAGAAAACTAAATATCTACTGCACTGCTGTATCCAAAAGAGCTAGAAGGAAAACGGAGAAATTGGAAACAATTGTTTTATTTTGTTTACATATTACACTCCCCAGCTTTTGACTGGAGACATAAATCTGTTACAGATAAAAAGATATTCAGAGCAATCAGTTAAAACTATTCAAGATCAATATGTTCAGGCTAAATTGATCAAATAGAATCCACAGTTATGTTTGTGTCAATGACTAGAAAATCACCTCGTATAGTAAAATAGAAAATATATCGCGGTACAGTAGAAACATACAGTACTTTTGGCGTTCTGAACAGGAACAGTCGTATCAGGTGATTCAGTCTGGACCGAAAATGCTTAAAAGGCGAACATCTCACCGGAATGATAGTTTCTTTTTCTTATATTAAAGGGGAATAGTTAAATGTATTTTGATATTTCTCCCCCCGTCATTGTTCAAACCTCATTTTACAAGAAATAAAACATTTGTTTTGTGAGCTCCACAGGACAGTGATCCAGAGTTTGGTGCGTTGAGTTGAACGAACAGTGATGTGGTTTACAAAAGGCACTGACAAGGAGACATGAACTAAATCAGTTCAAAATCACAAAAGCAATGCTGGTTATCATAAATATTATTCTAAATAAGAGTAATGTGAATTTAAATCTCAGCTGGTGTGTGTTGTTAACACCATTAAGCTATTCTACTTTGATTTGTTCATTTCCACAGAAATTTCTTGAAAGGAATTAAAAACAACAATAATAATCTAAAAGTAACTAAAAGGGCAATCGAAGAAAAAGTCTCCTTAAATATGAGTAAAAAGTTATTTTCGGCTCTTGTTTACGGCGTTGTTAAAGAAACGTCTTTATAGAAGGTTAAAGAAATTTTAACAGTAGCTTCATTGTTTGGGTTTCTAGGGTACAAAGTGACCGTGAGCATGCGTTAAAAAGGTCGCTACGTCTTTATTTTGCGTCAGTATCTCCCGTCTGCACCAAAAACAAATTAAAAAATTAATTTGGAAAGTGTTTTTTTTTTTATAAACGTTTTTTTTTTTTCTTCAACCAAAACAAGTGTGACCACGAGGTGCAAACGTGACAGAAAACCTGTTAAAAACAATAATTACTGGGAGTACCGTAATTCCCAGACTACAAGCTGCTACTTTTTTCACACGGTTTGAACCCGCTAATTTATGTTTTTTTAATGTTTTGACGGTCTAACGAGCTTCCTGCCACCAAAAGTATTTAGAAAGCGAGACCGAGGACGTGATGAAGTTTTTCCTGAGGCCGTTCAATTCTGTCACTGAAGAAGACGACTTTAATGGTTTAGTGCACAGGAGGAAGATAAAGAAAGTGATCAGTACTTTTCCTGGTAAGCTACTGTAGTTTTTTTTTTTTTTTTTACCAGCCGTTTTAAAGGTTGGGAAAATAAAAACACTTACTGTACGTATTTAATTACAAGTTTTAAAAAAAAACTTTGTGTAAATATATCATGTTACAACGTGAAAACCCGCAGTTTATATATTTACAAATTATTATTATTTATTTAGTGTGCGCAGCTGATATTCAAGTGTGCTCTATAGTCCGGAAATTACGGTAGACCGTACGGGGTCAAAGGCTTTAAAAGGACATAAAACGGTTAAAACAGGAAAGTCAGTCCAGCTGTTGTCTTTGCCGAGCACCTGCAGCTAACGGCTTCATTCATGTTAATGAACCCGGCGCAGAGGCTGCCATTAACAAAAGGTCTGCATTAACAGATGTTTACTTACAGATCGGGTTTAACTGCTCTTTATTTCACGTGTGTAAAGTGTTTGTTTAAGCATTTAGACACCGTTATTACTAGAGACAGGAGCAGAACCCAGAAGTTGAAGCCACAAAAGACAAGCACCCCTGGTACACACCATACTGCTCCATGTAAACTATCAGGACATTTTATTATTAAAAAAAAAAAAAAAACATAACTCTAGTAATTTTGATTTGATAATGATTTTTTTTGTGACTGTTGGTGAGTAATAAATGAGATGTTTGTATCGAGGGGACGCCCCCTCATCCCTCGTGTGCCGACTCTTAAAATGGCACCCGAACCACTGGACGCTTTGGCTTCAGTTTTTGAACAACGGGAGAAGATGAAGATGCTTTTTTACACAGTGGCGCCAAATGACGAGCATCCAAACCAGCACCTAACCTACTGGCCAACAACCTCTTCATGATTTATGGCCATCGTCTGTTTTACAGTTTAGCGTAACAAAATGAACTGGGATGAAGACTTGAGGTGAACTTACCATGTCTGGGATATTTACGTTCCCATCAGTTTATTGAATCAGTAAAGATGTAGCTCACCCGCGACGCTCTAATTCTTTTCTAATGGAACTTCTAATGAAGATGATTAACAGAAAGAAATGTGGGTTGTTCCTTCTCACAGATAATCCAGCGGGTGACGAACATACGTATTAAAGCATTAGGATGCTCACCCCCACAGCTGTGAACGTCACAGCGTGTGAAGTGTGTGTCTTTGTGCGACGACGTGCGCGCGCTCGTGCGTCTACATGAGGGACTCCAGGCTCTCTGTGATGTTGGACTGTCCCAGTGGTACTGATCCGTTTGTCTCTGGACTCTGCAGGGCTCTCTGGTCCTCCTGGCTGCTCACCAGGCTCAGCACGGCTCGGTACAGATATTGGTACTGCTCCTGTTGGATGGGGGGGGGGGGGGGTGAATCACACGTTCACTACAACGTTTGTGTCCAAACCCACGAGTCTCTGTTGGAGTCACTTACAACATCGTTAAAAACTCCCGGCCTCATGAGGTTGGTCATCCGTGCCACCAGGTAGACGTCTACCGCTCCTTCCTTCTCCAGCTGACAGAACAGGGTGGAGAGGGCACAGAACAGCCCCGATGTAGCCCCCCCCAAACTGCACGCAAACACAAACATAACGTCACAGACATGGGAGCTAATTTCCCAGAATTCCTCTCTGGGTTACACTCACGGATCGTGGACGACTACGGGTCCGTGTGCGTGTCTGCTGTGCTCTCTGACTGCGCTGACGAGATCAAAGCTGTTTCTGATGGGACTGTCTGGATTGGGCCAGCAGGGGGCGCTAAACTGGCGCACGTTGAACACGCAGTCGTCCTTTAAAGAAGAGCACACGACTCGGAAAAATATATTTGTAGCTGAATATTTCATCTGTATTAAACTACAGCACAAAAAGTAAGGAAGCCTGTTTGATTTGTTGTAACTTCTTATACCGTCGGATAATCTGCTTATTTCTAATTAATGGTGCCACATTTGTTAGGGGAATGAATTTGTGGGTTGCATCCATAAAAATATTGTGATCTCTTCTCTGCCTGTTCAAAACAATTGAATCTGCTACTCATGACAGGAAGGTGCTGCACTGGTGTGGCTGCGTATGGTTCTTCCACATGCTACTCAAGCTTGTGCCAGTTTGTTCATTGTTAAATTGACAGTATGTTTTGTTTTTATAGATTTCAATCATCCAATCCAAACAAGAGTCAATAAGAAAATAAAGTTGTTTGGTATTGACAGAGAAAACTTTGTTTTTTTATGGGTACAACACACAAACTGCTGCAGCTCAACACTAGGGGTGGGCGATACGGCTCAAATATAATATCGTGATATTTCAGATCATTCTGACGATAACGATAAATTTTGTGATATAACAAAACAAAAAAATTAACAGAAATCACAGTTATTCATTTGACAATATTAACGTTGCTTTACAGTATTATTTAAAAACAAAACAAAAAAACAACAACAAAGGTTAATTTTACTGAAATTACTTTATTTAGTAAAGTATTCAGTCTCAAAGTATAAAAATAAAAATGATCCTTCTGTTATTTGGATTGAAAAATAATTATTTAGAAATAAAATGACCGAAGTCCCATTTAAAATCGACAGCATTGAAATTCATAGAGTTCATGAAATAAAAGTTTTGGGCGTCGTTATTGATGAGAAGCTGACATGGAAACCTCAAATAAATTACTTCAGAATAAAAATAGCTAAATCAAATGCATTACTGTAAAAAGAAAAAGTTTTTGAATGATATATTGTATAATGTTATGATTGTTCCATATTTAATCTACTGTACTGAAGTTTGGGGAAAAGGATGAAAAACAATTACAAATCCCATTTTTATTTGACAAAAAAGACCTATAAGAATTATTAATGGGAAGGGCTACGGTCACCCAACAAATAGATTATTTCATCAGTTGAAATTATTAAAATTTTATGATTTGGTTGAATATAGTATTTTACAAGTCATGTATAAAGCTCATAAAAAATATTAACCCTATATTATTCAATTAAAATGTGTTAAAAAAAAAGAGTCATTATAACCTTAAGGGAATGTAAATGTTTGTAAAACCTCCATTTAGAACTAGTCTGAAGGAGCTGTGTTGTAATTCAGGGATTAGGATTATGGAATTACCTTGATATCAACATAAACATTTCTAAAACAATTTATATGTTTAAAAAGATGATTACGTTAAAGTCGTTAGGAAAGTATGATGCCATGTGAAGAATGCCTGATGTTTATTTAACATTTTTTCGGTCACAGAGATTACATTTATTTTAAAGTCTGCACAAAATGTAGCTCAATAAATCCACCACAAAAACTAAAGTGCAGGTCCCAAAATATCTAAATAAATTAAAGCTTAAGATCTGTTGAGCATAAACGTAACAAACAATAAAATATATGTCGTCTTTAAATGAGCTATAACTTCCAGAACTTGTAACAAGTTGATCACCTGACCCTGAAGCTCGTGGAGTTTCTTCTTCCTCTGTTCCTGCAGGAATGATCCATTTCTCTGATGCTCTGTCTCTGATCACCTCACTCTGTTCTTGCTCCATGGACTGTGGAACTCAAGAGACGCAGCCGAGCCGTGCATTGTTTGTTTGTAGCTTTTTAGCTAGCTAGTATTGCGCACAGCAAGCTTTTCTTACCTGTATTACCGTGAACGATATGATGTGACCCAGCCCTACTCGACACATTTTCCTAACAAACGAAGCACCATTAAATGGGAAATAAACACTTTCCATTGGTATAAGATTTACTGCCAAGAAGCTTTGTTATAATAAGAAACTATTCAGCCAAACACAACCCTGCTTAGTTCGCATGCTGTTGGTTTAAGTGTTACCTGAGAAGACTTCAGTGTAAAGTCCTGCAGCAAAAGGCTCTCATCGTTGGGTAAGTGTACATGCTCCTCCCCACAGCAAGAAGCAGTGAGACCATCAAAGCTCAGTGGAAGTTCTTTACTTGGCCAGAAGACACAACAATCCCCCTGTTCACTCTAAAAAAACATGGGAAATAGATGAGATTATGCAGATTGATTATACGTTGTGGATGAAGTGGAGTGTGTCGAAGTTCTACCTGACTGTGTGCATCTGGCAGACAGACAACTGTGTGGGTTTTGTGTTCCCAGATCATTCTCCAGAAATCTTCCACCGTGCTGCTCAGAGGAGTCTGACTCACAATGAACTCCTTACTGCAGTGGTAGCCCTGGACAAACAAACGTGTAATTGTTTTTAAAGGAAACAAGTGGTGCACCGATGTCCCCCGTCACTGACGGGTTTGAACAGTGAATGTTCGTAGTGTTTGAGACGAGTGTTTCTCTGGACTGGAATTGAACAGGGAATGAAGTAAACCTTAATGTTTTTGATATTAAAGTGGGCAGGAGCTGCACTGGGGAGAAGAACAGACGTAGTTTCTCTTGTTCGAGGCGGCACAGTGACGGATCCTGGCGAGTGGAGGGAGCAACTTTATCCACAATCAGGTGCAGTGGTGGAGCCAGAGGGTGGCTAATGGTGGCCTTGGCCATTATAGATTAATCTTTGGCCACCCCTGGTCATTTGAGGAAACTATACTTTTAAGCAATATAAAAATTAGAAAGCATAGTGTCCTCAAATTAAGGGGTGACTGATATATATATATATATATATATATATATATATATATATATATATATATATATAACCAACATTCATGATAGTGGTGGTGGCCTTTTTTATGTTTAAAAACAGCCACACCAAAAATCATGTTGGCCCATTATTAAGTCCACAACATGCACATATGGACAGACTTAAGAGTATTTCCAATTCCCCCTTTATCTTTGTGACGGGGGACAATTAAAGGAGCAATATGAAATATGTAGTGACATCTAGCATCTAAATGCAGAATACAACTTATGAAACATCTGGTTTTACTGTTCTCTCCTAAATGTGTCAAAGAAACTATGGTGGTCACTAAAACCCAAAGGGAAGTCGATTTTAGAACCAGTTCTTGGTTTGTTTGTTCTGAGCTACAGTAAAGAGATTCAATTAAAAAAAATATTAATTTGTAATTTGTAAATATGTTAAGCACTCCGAAGAAATTATCTAATGTGTGTATAATTTGATTACATTGTGTGTCCAGATGTTTTACTGTACAGATGTTTTACTGCTCCTGCTAGTCTTTCAACAAGACTACACTCATCCACACGCATGTCCATGAACCGTCTGCCATGGTGACGTCTTCCTGAGGCCAGCCAGGCTGCCCCGTCCTTACTGAACATGCGAGGGATCAGTTAAAACTTCACCACTCATCAAGGACCTGGCACGGCCTGAGGGGGGGGAGGTGGGGGGGTCATACCCTGCTGACATGAAGCAGCAGCAACTCATCTGATATTTTAATACGGTCACAGCACCTTTCAACACATGACGTTTTATTTCGTTTTCACCACTCGTCTGAGTGTTTAAAGCTTTTTGTCAGTCAGCGTTTATTACATCTCAACCCCCCCCCCCCCCCCCCCACGTTACACATCACAACTTTAGCAGCAGTAGAAAGTGCACTCACCAGAACGTAGGAGGCATTGATGTAACCCGTGGAGTTTGTTTCTGAAGCTGTCAGAGAAACTCTTGATCTCTCCACTGCACAAAAACACAGAAATATGTTGATGAAATAAAATAAGAGATAAATATTTATTAGCCTCAACAGCTAACATCCACAACAAATCTACATTTACTGAAGTCTTTCCCAAATACATTGTATTTGGAGAGAGCAATGAGCACATGACACTCAAGTAGAGGTTTTGTGATACACAGCGTTGCTTAGTGAGACGTCGTCGAACTGAAAGTTGCCAAACTCGCGTATTAAATGTGCAACTTGTGACCATTTTTTAATTCCGTTTGCTGTTTTGTGCTTGGCTTCAGGTAATGAGTTATTTGTTTCTGTGAGAGAATTTGTCAACACCAGCTCATGCGTCTACAGAATCTTTAAAAGCCTTAAAATGTTTCCGCGTTCTTTTTAAAACTAGAAGCAATTTGATTAAAATGGCTTAGATTGGGATTATATGCCTGTGAACGCAACATCAGCTGCAATGAAGTGTACAGCCCAGTTCCACTACGTTCCAGAAACAAAACTAGACATCAAGAATAAATATAAACTCAGTCTACCATGTTGGATTTGGTCCAGTCTTACATACCAGGCATCAGCGCTCTCGCTCGGTTCCTCTCAGCGTTGCCATCTTTCAGGGCAGTGCTGTAATCTGCGTGCTTCGCCTGCCGCTGACTTATTAACTAAAACATGAGAAAAAGAGATCGTTTCAAAACATTCAGTCAGAATAACAAGATTAAAAATGGGAGTAATTAAACTGTTAAACACCTTTAACTGTTTGTCCATGCGCGTCCTGCCGGTGGGACCAGGCGTCAGGAGGCCTGACACATACGTGTGGAGGAGCTCAGAGGTCACCAACGTGTCCCGGCTCAATATGGCCTCTGCCAGAGCGTCATGGATGAAGACGTACTGCTCCTGGTAGACAGGAGACAAAGGACCATGTTATCATGTTGAACACTTTTGAAAAGGGGAATCCTAAATGTTCAGAATTAGACTCGAGTAGAGTCCGAGTACTGGATGTCAGCAAGACCCAGACGTGTTTGTTTACCTCTGTCTGGACCAAGAAGTTTCTCTGTGTCCGGACGTGTTTTAGAAAGCCAAGAACATTCACCGTTCCCTGATCCTGGATCTGCTGCAGCATGCTGTCTATCACTATGTAGGTGCCAGTTCTTCCTACGCCAGCGCTAGAACACAAACACACCACAAATAATTTTAATAATAAATAAACAAAAGAATAAAACAAAGACACTTTCCCAATATGAGTCTCAAATCAAAAATATGAATCCAAAACAACACAAAAATATGTTAACTCATCTACTTTTTGTACTTTCCCACTTGTTCAAAGCAAGAAAATAATTTCCCATTTTTTGTCTGATAGTAAAAAACAAAGCTGAGACACTTTTAGACCAGTTCAAAGACAAAAATATTTTTTAAACCATTGTGACATCCCAACATTAGCATGTTCAATAACTCTGCAGCCTGTTGTGGTAACTGATATGGTGACATCATTTGCCTACATTTGGTACTAAAAATGACTAACTTTACAGTGACTCGTTATTTTTGAAGCAGAAGAGCAGTGGTCTTAAACTGGAGCCTTGCGGAACAACAATTATGCAAATTTGAAATGCTGATTTCATTCCATTTACTTTGACTTTGTTTTAATGTGTGAACTGAATTATTTACCTGCAGTGGACCAAGACAGGTCCCATTTCTTGTGTTCGGGCCTGAGAGGATGCTCTGATGAAGGACAGCACAGGCAATGTGTACTCTGGGACGCCCATGTCCGGCCACTGGGTGTAGTGGTAATGAAGGACTGTGTGTTCAATTTTCCTCTGAGGCACCTGAAGGACAAATAAGACTCATCTCTACCCCAAACTGAATGATTTGTTCTTTGTATTCATAGAGACAAGAAGCATGCGCAGATGATGTACCTTATTTGTCGTATCCCTGATTGTGAACGTCCGTAGTGTGTAATAAGCAAGGGTCTTTGTGCTTTTCAGGGTCACCAGGTAAGAACCGTATTCCTCTTGGCTCTCCTCAGGCCAGTACTGGTCACATTTTGTCTGTCCAGAAAAAATATTCTGAAGATAAAAATCCTGAAGTCCAACGTCATGTATGACCAGCACTGAGGGCTGTGTTGCCAGTTCTTACCCGTCCTTTCTCCTTCAGATTGGTGATCATGACAATGACTCCAATGTTCTGCTGCCAGATCATCCTCCAGAAGTCCTCCCTGCTTGATTTCAGGGGCCCCTGAGCTGCGATGTATGCCCTCGTTCTCTCGTAACCCTGAAAAGAAACCATCATATCGCACACCGTATAGCAACATGAACAAAAAGTGGAGGAGAAGCCCTCACATCCACAAAGTTAGCGTTGATGTAGTCCCCGCATCTCCCGTCTCGGTCCAAACTGTTGGAGAGCTTCACTCTGCTGTGGTCATCTGGAAAAGGAAAAAGGTGATGAGCCACGTTTCTGTACATTATCTCAGTTAAATAAAGAACAGCAACACTGAGCAGACGCTTACAGGCCAGTATGTTAATGTAGCGGTTCTTGCTTTTGTTGTCGGGATGATTTGAGCTGTCGGCAGTGATGCCCATGTCGACCGTGCACGTCTGAACCTCCTGAAACACACAAGCAGCAGCAGGGTTAACGCCAAAAACAGGCATGCTTGGGACATTTAGAAGTGGTGCTCTATACAACAAGCATCTTACATGTTGTAGAAATCTCTGAGGTTGGAAAATAAAGAGTTAAAAGTCTAAGAAAAGTGACGAGCTAAAGGCTAGTCTGCTTCCTGCCATTGTAATGTCAATGTCATTTAATGTATATAGCACGTCTAAAAACAACACTGTTGACCAACGTGCTTCACAAACAGGAAATCAGCAATAAAACAAATGAAAGATGAAACATTCAAAACCACAAGAATAATAAAAAAAGCTAAGAACAAACTAAAACAAGGAAATAGCACACCTCTGATGGAGCTCAAACTGAACTTGAATTCAAAGTCAGTATAAAGAAGTGAGTTTTTAGGCAGGATTTAAAGGACTGTACACACTCTGCAGAACAAATATCAATGGGCAGGAAGTTCCAGGGTCTGGGGGTCACCACAGCTAAAGCTTGATATGCTCTACGCTTTAATTTAGCCCTCGGCTGCACTAAAAAAGTGTCCGACTGGAGGATCTCTGTGATCTGTTTGGATTCTAAAAGATCTAATAAATAATTGGGTGTCAAGCCATTTTCAACTTTAAAAGTAAATAAAAGAATCTTAAAATCAATACGAAGGTGAACAAGCAGCGAGTGTAAATCAGCTAAAACAGGAGTGATGCCTTCTGGTTCCTGTTGAAAGACGAGCAGCTTTGTAAATTAACGAGTTTAAACTAAACTACGGTAAACGCTCGTCGACAAATTTTATACGGCAGTCTATAGCAGTGGGCCAGACAAAACAAGGTCTTGTGTATCATTTGAACTTGATTAGTCATGAAAATAGTACACAACGCTCCATGTAGTGATGATGTGTACGTGTACGAAGTTTCAGTTCATTTTTTCTCACTGGCTCTGGAACAAGGCCTCCCTGTTCTCCTGCTTTTTTGCTCTCTGTGCATCGGAGCTCCTATTTTTACACATCTTCCGAAATGAAAACAACTGTTATGGATCTGATCAACTGGACTTTCGACGCAAATGACAAAAACTTTTCAACAAAGGGACAGGGTCCTGGAGAACCTCCATCTGCTCGGACGACACGTGCAGCTGGATATTTCTCTGGAGAAATGGAATGTGATGTGTCTATCTCTGCTGTCGATCGAGGACGCCGAAATCGCTTATAATTGGATTTATGATAACAAGTTTCCTGTTTTTGGAATAGTCTGGATCCTGGTTTATCAGCATACAAAGAAGACAGCCGCAGCTAATTTGGACCTCGTCAGGCTGCTGCCTATGTGAAGGTTTGGTTCGTGCTTTGAGGACTCAAAATCAGCTGACTTACGAGCTAAACTGTAAGATGGAAGAGATTTAAATCGCATGCCACCTGTGGCTTTGGGATTCATCAGCATGAAAACGACCTTGAAGAGGCTCGTAAGCACAGACCAGTAGAATGCACCCTAATCTGGCCATTTTGGACCTTGGAAGTATCATTACAGACCCAAGGCTGACAAGAAAAAACAGTCTGCCTGAATAAATCAACAATGTGGCTTATCTGAATCTGACTCCCTGGTTGGCCTCGAAAACAGGCCGACATCAAATTTCTCCTGGGAAATGTGTAAACTAAGGAAAGCTTCGTCTATCGCAACCCCCAACTTCTGTGAAGGCTTGTCAGAACTGTGCCTGCTGACCCTCATCTTATCAGGACAATGGTCTATCTGCTAGTGCTTCATCGACCGCCTCGTTTGTAAATGTATATGTAACGTGTTCATTAATGTGCTGCTAGCAGTTTTTTTTATGTCTTAAATTGTGTCCGGTTAGGACAAGGTGTGAAGAGATCTTTTTTTTTTTTTTGTAATGCCACTATCCTCTCCTCATGGCTTTGTCCCTTTTTCTATCTAAAAAAATGTATTCTGAAAAGCATAAGAAGGCCGCGCTATCACAGCAGCAGCTACGTACACTCCGCTCATCTTTCGGAGGACTGTGCTGACATATTCTCGTATCTCGGTACAATGACAATAAAGCTTATTATTCTGATTAAATTATCTTGAGCAGATCCAAAGTTTTGGGTGGGACAAGAGAACGTATACGGACACATGGGGTGCAGCCTTTAACATGTGTATAAAAACTATTTCATTCAAAGACTGCAGTGTATTTTGCACAACATGGTTCTTTACCAACATTCTGTTTGTTAGTAAGTCAAATAGCAGCTAGCTGTCGTAGAAATCATTTCAAAGCTCCCACAGTGAGCTGACTAAAGCTGATCACGTATTTAACTCCAAAATGGAACAAAAATCACAGTTTTTGCTTTGTTTTGCTTTTGTTTTTTTGAATGTCCAGAGGACCAGATTGAACTTTTTTGGATTTTTCTACCTGGATTATTGAGCATGCATCAAGATAAAAATCACAGTCATTACAAATACAGATGTATGTTTGGTAAACCGGGAGTTTGGAGTTGAAATTATTTTCTTCAAGACAACAAAGCAGCACCTCTGCAGCAGACGGATGGTGTCTTACCTCACAGGACTCTTTGACAATCTAATGGAGGGTGGTGAGGATGCAGAAAGCACGACGATGGTGGTGGATGGTGAGAGGAGTGGGACAGAGGGACACGATGACAGACAGACAGACAGACAGACAGGGAGTCAGTGCAGGTTCTGAAGTCTGGGTACCGAGTGGGAAACACTTTCCCATCTGAGCTGTGGTGTAAACAGCAATGATGTAATCCTCTACCAAACTGGTGAAATATGAAGGCACCATTTTCAGTGTGCAAAACTTAAGATTGGTGGGTTTGATAAAAATTTAACAGCTGTAAAAAAAACAAAAAAACAGTGGAGGTTTGCAGCTGCGGCTATGAAAAACGCAACAGCAGCAACAAAGCAGGTGGAACTACATCTAAGCCAATGAAACCTAAGAAAAAAATTAAAGACTGATAGAAAATTAATCAAAAAGAGCAACAAAAAAATAAAACTATTAGAAGTTAAACATGATATTCATCTAGTTGAATAAATTATTGATCAGTTTTTTGCTTGACACGATTCTAGCAATTTCTGATTGATCCTCAAAAACTAAAGAGTAAACTTAACAGCGTCAAGGGCAGGAAGTTGTGACCAGACAAATAAAAGATCAGTAATTTAAACAACTATATTTAAGTGAAACCAGATGTTTACACACATTGTAGACAAAGACATTTTTTTTCTCAAAGCCTAACGTTAAATCAGACTAAACCTTTTCTCTCTAAGGTCAGTTAGGATTTACAAATTATTTCTATTTGCTGAAACAATAACTTTTAATTCACTATTTCAAAGTTGCATGTTTACATACCGTATTTTCCGGCGTATAAGTTGCACCTTTTTGATAAATGTGCAAGTCCTGCGACTTGTACACTGAAGTGACTAATATACGGGGGGGGGGGGGGGGGGGGGGGGGGGGGGGGGGGGGGGGTGCTTGGCTGCAGGAGAGACTGGTGCACGTCACAAAATCGATGGTCTCATCAAAGAAAACTATTATGAAGAAAAGTTGAAGCACTTTCTCAAGACATCGACCAGGAAGTTAAAGCTTGGACACAAATGTGTCTTCAGGTGGACAATGACTCCCAGCATGCTGCTACATTAGTGACAAAGTGGCTAAAGGACAACAAAGTCAGTGTTTTGGAGCGGCCATGACAAAGTTCTGATCTCAATCTCACAGGACATTTGAGTGCAGAGCTAAAAGGGCGTGTGTGAGCGAGGAGCCTTCCCACCTGACTCAGTTCCACCAGTTCTGTCATGAGGAACTGGCCAAAATTCCAGCAAGATGATGTGAGAAGTTTGTGAAAGGAAACCTAAAACCTTTAACATGAGTTGTACAGTGGGCAGCACGGTGGCGCAACTGGTAGAGCTGCTGCCTCTCAGCGAGCAGGTCCCTGGTTCAAACCCCAGTCCAGGGGCCTTTCTGGGTGGAGTTTGCATGTTCTCTCCGTGCATGCGTGGGTTTTCTCCGGGTGTTCCGGTTTCCTCCCACAGACCAAAAACATGCATGTTAGGCTGATTGGTAACTCTAAATTGCTCCTAGGTGTGAGTGAGAGAGTGAATGGTTGTTTGTCTCGTTTGTGTCTATGTGGCCCTGTGATGGACTTGCGACCCGTCCAGGGTGTACCCCGCCCCTCGCACAGTGATTGCTGGACATGAGCACCGGCGACCCCCGTGACCCAAAATGGAATAAGCGGGTAAAGATAATGGATGGATGGATGGAGTTGTACAGTTTAAAAGAAGCGCTGTGTACTATGTACTTAAAGTAATGAAGAATTCTCTCATTATTCAGACGTTTAACAAACAGAAATAACTTTGGGAATCCTAACTGACCTCAAACAGGAAGGGTTTACAGTAGTCCCTCGGTACTTCAGTGTTTGACTTTCGCAGACTAACTGTCTCGCTGGTTTTCAACGTAAGATTGTAGACGACACACGACTGGCTGGTTGATGGAAGGTGACCAACCACAGCGTTGTGCTCTGTATCCCGGGCGCTGATTGGCTCAGTAACCGTAGCATCAGTCTGTCTGCTCTCTTTCACTGTGCTCTTTAAGAGCAGGGTCTGGAACGCAACCTTCACGATAAGTGAAGGACTACTGTAGTCTGATTTATAGGCATACTTTGAGAGAAAAAAGTGTCTTTTCATGCATAGTACATGGATATATTGTTTGATTTTTTTTGCATATTATGGGTCTTTTTCTGCCAGATTTAGTTTGTGTTAGATTTATTGGCACAAACCTAATTCCACAAGGAAGACAAAAACACACTGGCAACAATGGGAATCGGTTCCCTCTGTGTGCGTGTGTGTGCCCTGCTTAGAGACACATAAACATGCAGAGGTCTCTATTATTCAAACCGATTAATGAGCCTGAACAAACACCATTAGTGTTTTCCATCTTTTGTTACAAGTCTTGTTTCCAGCTCCATGTATTTACATCTTTTGAGTTTAGTTCTGAAATGAGCTGAACTGCCATAATTAGTGCCCAAACACCCTGCTTGCCCACCAATGTATCCCCCGCTGCACATAAACACTGGACCGAATGAAGTTGAAACGAGGTGTGGACGCACATTAAGGAGCTTTGACAAACGAGGTGCTTGCACACATGAATAAAAGCAGTGTTTTACACCCTCCCTGAAAATCTCACACACCTCAAACTCCTTGCAGAAAGAGCTGGTGCTATGGAGCTCCATGACGTGCTTCACAAACTGCTTCACTGTGAGCGGCTCGTGACCGTCTGGAACCAAAGGATAACTATTTAACACGACAGTGTCATAGCTGTGTTTATGCACGAAGGAGATCTTATTGTGCTACCTGTGGCCGGCAGGAGAGGTGTGGACGGAACAGACAGGACTTTAGGTGACGCACTGTCATCTGGGTAGAAATGAGCCACCTGGAAACAATTTCTGGGACCAAATAGATCAGAATCATGAAGGAAGACATGAAAAGTGATACGGAAAAGATAAATGTGTGTTTGTACCTCCAGTAGATGAGGATGCCCACGAGCACCAGCAGACAGAGAATGGTGAGAGTGGAGACGACAGCCAGAGGGACCACCGTCCTCTTCTCCCTCTCCACACCTTCCACCAGCCCGACCCGAGACTCGTGGCTGCTGTTGCTGCGCTCTGAACGAGAGGGAAGGGCTCGCGTCAGTCGGGAAACACAACATGATGTTTAACCTTCTAGGACCTGGCATCCACATATGCAAGAGTCTGGGTCTTAGGAGGTTAAGATATTATTCTAGAGCGTTTTATTCACCTAACTTAATATAGTGTGATATGTTAAGTTAGCAGTAATCCAGTTAGGTTACAGGAAGTTGGTGGCGGGACTATGACGATGTTTTTAAAAGGCTGAGTTTTGTTTGTCTACACAAAAATGTGAATGTGGCATTTTAAGATGTTTTTCTTCTGAACTGGTAAAAATATCATTTTGAGGCACTAAATGCAGAAATGGTAACAAAAATGCACATCATAGACCCATCAACGAAATATTATACAGAAATCTATAGCTATGGTCAGGAAAGGCAAAGACATTGTGTAAATTTTGACCTTGATTTGTGACCTTGACTCAGAGCAGGGGTGCTGAAACGATTACGGTGGTGGTACAAATATGAATTTTTACTAAATTTATCTTAAGTCGATCAGTAGTTATGGCTAGGACAAGGAATGACTTTGTATAACATTTGACCTTGATTTATGACCTTTAGCTTGAAGCTGGGGTGAGGTAAAGTTCACACGAAACAACATGTAGTGCTGGAATAAATTCAAGTTTTGTTAAATTATCTTGAGCATTTTAGAAGTGATGGACAAGAGAACGTTTACTGGCATACAGAGACTATACTGTAATAAGTCCGTCTTTTGATAGGCGTATAATAAAAACATTTACATATTCACAAAAACATCATTTGGACGCCCCTTTACTGCTTGTACTATAGATTGAAAAAATAAAACCAGGCATCAAAAGACAAGATGTTGCAACAATTCCCCTCTAAAGTGAATATAATTTCCACAATAGACAATTTCCCCGCTTTTTTCACTGGAAATTAACAAAAGAAAGCAAAATCTGATCGTGGCGACAATTAAGGTGCTAAAATGACACAATCAAATCCGTTATTGCAGTAGCTTAGTGTTTGTGACCAAAACAAAAACATGTTTTCATTTTTATTTATTTATTGTTGACTGATGCAGAACTAAGATGAAAATGGACACATAAAAGTTTTGGGATTAGAACATTGAGATTTACTACAACTAGAGAGAGGACCAGAACTCGGAAGTTGAGGCCACCATGGACGATGATCTACTTGGCTGGCTGCAGTACAAGTTTTAGGCCCCACCTCCATGTACATTAACAGGACATTTGCCTGACTAAAAAGAAAAAAATGCACCTCAGATTTTTTTTCAGGTGTTTGATATGAATTCTTCCGTTCCATGCATGAATTAGACATTTAAAAAAATCTTTATAATTTTCTCAAATAGTTTTGTTGTTAAGGTCAGTGATAGGACAAACATCTCTCTGTCAACCTCCTACAATCAACCTTGTGAAATGATTCCTCATACACGGGCTTCCTTTGAACCAGTCTCATTCCCAAACCTCTCTGGTCTCATGGATCAAATGAAGCCATCCAAATGTTCTACTGATATCAGTAGTCCCTCGCTAATTTGCGATTCGACGTTTGCGGACTCTATTTAGAGTTGCAACGATCGTCAACTTTAATATTACTCAAATGATTGGGATGGTATGAGATAAAAAGTTAATGAAAAAAATGCTCCGGACAGGCGCTGCCATTTTGTGTTTTTTTCTTTTCTTTTTCCAATAAGTCTACACTGTAAGGCCAGTCAAAAGAACTACACTACCCAGAAGCCAACAGTGCTTCTGGCCACTGCTTTCTTGTAGTTTTCCTTCAATAAGCCTATACTGTAACACCAAAGAACTACACTACCCAGAAGCCAACAGTG